CCCCACAGGTCATTCCAGCCATTGCCAGCCCTGCCTAACCCCAACCATGTGACCCTGGGCAGATGACTCTTCTGAGCCTCTGCAGTTCTGACTACATGAAACATTGGGCTAAGAGTACCTGCCCTGGGGTGTTTTGTGAGGCTCCCAGGTCTGGGCACCTGGAAGGTGCTCCACAGTCATTTGTTGCTTCTGTGATCATCATCCTCACACTTGCATCTTCTTCCTCTAGACCTCCTGCCCCCCGAGGTGTGCAGTCTCCTGAACCCAGCAGCCATCTATGCCAACAATGAGATCAGCCTGCATGATGTTGAGGTCTATGGCTTTGACTATGACTACACACTGGCCCAGTATGCAGACTCACTGCACCCAGAGATCTTCAGTGCTGCCCGAGACATCCTGATTGAGCACTACAAGGTGAAGCTAGCCAGTCAGGGTTCCCAGGCCCTGGGGGGCAGGTGGCTGAATTGATCCCCCGAGGCGGCTGCCCAGCTAGCAGGTGTGGCAGTACCACTGGTTCAGGCCTGGTCTTCTTTCCCCCAACAGTACCCAGAGGGTATTCGGAAGTATGACTACAACCCCAGCTTTGCCATCCGTGGCCTCCACTATGACATTCAGAAGGTGAGTGACTAGACCGCTGACTTCCCCTGGCCCCTTCTTACTGGTTGTGTATCAGCCATTTTCTCAGTCCCCCATCCCCAGTGGAGCAGTCTCCTCTCTAACCCTTGGCCTCTTAGCTGTAGCTTCTTGGCATGTACATGATCCCCTTGATACCATCCACTTGGGGCCTCAGGGTTGGGAGGTGCAAGAGGCTGGCTCATGGCTGACGGCATACCCCTTCCTCACTGCCCATCCCGCTCCCCTTGTGCCCCCAGAGCCTTCTGATGAAGATTGATGCCTTCCATTATGTGCAGCTGGGAACAGCCTACAGGTCAGTGCTGACTCTGCCCTGACCCCACTGTAGGCCACTGCTCCGGGTCACCCCTCTCTTCCCCACCCCACTCTTCAGCCTGCGTTCAGGAACACTTTGGACTGATGACGTCCGTGTGCCCACGCAGGGGCCTGCAGCCTGTGCCAGATGAGGAGGTGATCGACCTGTACGGGGGAACACAGCACATCCCACTGTACCAAATGAGTGGCTTCTATGGCAAGGTACTCAATCTGCTATTGCCCAGGGCAGCCCACTCAGTGATCTCACTGTGGGTACTGGCCCCCTGGGAGGCCGTGCCCACAGCCCTGCACAGACTGCCCCCCTCCACCAGTGTCCCAAGGCAGATTCAGAGTCCCTGGCCTCCAGAGCTGGGGTTTGTGGGGCTGGAAGGGTTGCTGAAGCAGTCCCCCCCTCCCCAGGGCCCCTCCATCAAGCAGTTCATGGACATCTTCTCACTGCCAGAGATGGCACTGCTGTCCTGCGTGGTGGATCACTTCTTGGGCCATGGCCTGGAGTTCGACCAAGCACATCTCTACAAGGACGTAACGGTGAGGATGCTTGGCCTGCTTAGGGTAGCAGGGAAGGTGAAGTCCAGCCACATCAGGGCAGGCCCTCCTGGTCCCCACTGCACCCTCACTGTCCCTCCACTGCCCCCAGGATGCCATTCGAGACGTGCACGTGAAGGGCCTTATGTACCAGTGGATCGAGCGGGACATGGGTAAGGGTGGACAGTAGCTACCTCAGCCTGCCTGGGCAGGATGCAGGACTGGCTCTCACAGAGGCATCTCCCCCTGTCAGAGAAGTACATCCTGAGAGGGGAGGAGACCTACGCTGTCCTGAGCCGCCTGGTGGACCATGGGAAACAGCTGTTCCTCATCACCAACAGTCCTTTCAGTTTCGTGTGAGCCCCATCCCACCGTGGGAGGAGGAAGCGGGGTGGAAGCCAGGTAGGGGCAGGCTGGCCCTCCTCAGACCACCTGTCCTACCTCTGCCCCCTTTCTCCCCAGGGACAAGGGGATGCGGCACATGGTGGGTCCTGACTGGCGCCAGCTCTTTGATGTGGTCATCGTCCAGGCAGACAAGCCCAGCTTCTTCACTGACCCCCGCAAGTATGAGCCTGGCAAGGGTGATGGGGCCAGGGGGTGGAGAATAGCCTTTGCTCACCACCCTGTGTGCTTGGGGTGGGGACACCCCCTTTTTGGCATGTGTCCCATGTGAGCAGGTGGGGCTTTGCAGAGTGGGATGGTACCCCATTTCATGGTCTTGCTACAGGCTAGAAATCAAGCCCTTTACCCCCCACCCTAGACCTTTCAGAAAACTTGACGAGAAAGGCTCACTTCATTGGGACCGGATCACCCGCCTGGAAAAGGGGAAGATCTATCGGCAGGTGAGGGCCATCTAGGTGGGAGTAGCACCTGAGTTGGTGGGGGGTGCACAGGACTAACCAAAGCCCCAGGGGGCAGCAGCGCACCTCCAGCACACATCTGCTGTGAGTCTGTTCCCTCGGGCCGTGGGCCTGTGTCTGGGGCCCCAGGGAAGGGCGCAGGCCCAGGCAGGGTCGAGGACTTGGCTTGTGGGTCAAGTTGCCTGCATCTGAATTCTAACTCCACTCCTGGTTGGCAAAGGGAGCCTTGCCGAATTACTTAAAAGAGATAAATAACTTGAGTTGTGGTATCAGGGCCTTAGACTGGCCAGACATTTATCACTAAATGTCCGATAAATGGCAGTACCTACTTGAGGTTTGAGCACTGCTGCAGCCAGACAAGCCTGTCTGGGGCCCCTGAGCTGGGCTGGGGGGCTGGTGGGGGTGGTTCGTGGACCTCTAGGGAGACCTCTTCTGCTGGCTCTCTCTGAAAACGAGAAGGGGCATGGTGGGCGGTTGCAGAGGTGGCTCTCAGCTAGAGGTGATTAAGCATTTGGCTCTGGATGGAATGCGGAAATCCTGGCTGAGCTGGTGAGCAGGGCTGCTTGAGGGTAGGGGATCCAGAAGTGGGGTGGGGTGGGGGCGGGCAGCCAGCAGTTGGGCCAGGGGCTCAGCCACAGGGAGCAGCCTCAAGGCACCCCATTGGGAGGCCTGCCCTGCAGGCAGTGTTTCCACCCCTGCCCACTGCTCTGTCACCCACCCTGCTGGCCCCCAAGTCTTCATGGCCCGCTAGGGCACAGACTCTTCCCTCAGCTCTGAGGGTCACATTCTCCTTTGCTCTAGCTCTTGCCTGAGCCTGAGGAGGGTCATGCACCTTTGTGGGAAGCATGTGACTTTCTTTGGCAGCTTTCAGATTTTCCTTTTTGCCTGATATTTTGAAGGGAGTGTGTGTGTGTGTGTGTGTGTGTGTGTGTGTGTGTGTGTGTGTGTGTGTGATCTTATTTGTTTCTCATCTGTCTTTGCTCTCCCCCCCACCCTTTCTCCCCTCCCTTTCTTTATCTCCTGTTGCTGGAACCTCACGCTCCGTCCTTCCTGACTCAGCACCTGTGCCTCAGGAATCTTTCTCTTGGTTCATCCAAGGCACATCCACTCTGCCCGTCATACCTCCCTCTTCTGTAGGGTCCCCTGAGCCTCTCCTCCTGACCTAATTTCAACAATGAAGTCTCTCACGGCTGCCTGTGCCCCTACGGCTTTCATCTCCCTGGGCCTCTTGTGCACAGACTGTTGTAGTAACTCCTTTTTTGCTGGATATAAATTCTCTCCTGGGTGTGGGCTGCTGTCCTGAAGCTGCTACACTTCCTGCTCTGAAACCAACCCACCCCCCACCCTGCCCCAAGTTTCTGCTTGTCTGGGAGCTTCCTCTGTTGTGTTTGAGCCTGGCTGAGTGTTTTTTTCTTTTCTCCAGCTTTGTAGCAGAAGAGGCAGATGGTCTCACAGTGAGGTCTGCCATTGGTCTGTTGGGTCCCTCTGGACTCAGGCCAGGGAGGCCAGGAGGACCTCAGGGCCATGGGGTCGCTGCTCCAATTTGTTTCCCACTGATTTTGTAAACTCAGTTCCTAGCTTGGGGTGTGTATAAGGCCATAGGGAGGGGGGAGGGGAGACCCTAGAGGCACAGGGCACCATGCCAGGCCTACAGGAGACCTTCCTGCAGTAGGCAGACCCCCTTTCTGAGTGTGAGGCAGAGTAGGAAGGGCCAGAGTGCAGAGAGGACAGTGAGGCCACGGGAAAGGGCAGCCAGCATCCGGCTGAAAAGGCCTCATTCTGGGAATTGGGGAGAACGGGCAGGGAGCAGGCGTGCTTCTGGCAGCATGGGAACCCCTCGGGCACATGGGCTCAGCAGTGTTCCCTGCCCCTCCCCAGGGAAACCTGTTTGACTTCCTGCGCCTGACAGAATGGCGTGGCCCCCGTGTGCTCTACTTCGGAGACCACCTCTACAGTGACCTGGCAGTGAGCAGGGGCAAGACTGGGGCCATGGGGGGGAAGGGGGCGCCCCAGCTGGTGCTGAGCCTTGTCCTCCACCTGCCCACCAGGACCTCATGCTGCGGCACGGCTGGCGCACAGGTGCCATCATCCCCGAGCTGGAGCGTGAGATTCGCATCATCAACACAGAGCAGTACATGCACTCGCTGACATGGCAGCAGGCGCTCACGGGGCTGCTGGAGCGCATGCAGGTGCAGGGCTGGCCAGGATGTCCTGGGGGAGGGACCGGGCACCACCTGGGCACACATATAAGAGCACACCTTGTCTCCCCCAGACCTACCAGGATGCCGAGTCTCGGCAGGTGCTGGCTGCCTGGATGAAGGAGCGGCAGGAATTGAGGTGAGCAGCATGAGGCAAGGGCAGGAGTTCCCCCTCCAGCCCCATCCTGTGTGGCCCCTCACGTGCCCCACATCTCCCTCCCCAGGTGTATCACCAAGGCCCTGTTCAACGCACAGTTCGGGAGCATCTTCCGCACCTTCCACAACCCCACCTACTTCTCGAGGCGCCTTGTGCGCTTCTCCGACCTGTACATGGCCTCCCTCAGCTGCCTGCTCAACTACCGTGTGGACTTCACCTTCTACCCGCGCCGCACACCCCTGCAGCATGAGGCACCGCTCTGGATGGACCAGCTCTGCACCGGCTGCATGAAGACCCCCTTCCTCAGTGACATGGCTCACATCCGCTGAGGGCACCTTTATTGTCCAGAACAGGCCCTGGTCCCTCCTGCCCCGCCCACTCTGGGCATTTGTCCAAATGAGCAATAAAGTGGTCCTCCCCTGCTTCTGTCTTTGATGTGTCACTTGACTGCAAGGATCCTCTGGGTGTCAGGGAAGTCCTCCTCCAGTAGGGAGTCCTGCAGGGAGGACCATGTGTGGCTGGGCTGAGACCAGGCCAAGGACCCACTCCCACATTCCCCGCCCGCCGCCCACCCTGCACTCACATCAAAGGGCTCACAAAAGGCATCGTGAGTGCCAAAGACTGGGTTGGGGACAGAGACCAGGGTTGGGCTGGTCCCTTCCTGCCACGGGGAGAAGTCATCATCTGCATCATCTTCTGCCTGAGAAGACAAGTGAGTGATGAGGGGCCTTGAGCAAGATCTGTGGGCACTAACCCCTCAATCCAGCCCTACCTGGAAGACGGAGAAGCCAAAGCCTGTGGCCTTGCTGCGAGCTCGGAGGTACACGGCTCCAGCCACTAGACCCAGCAGTGCTCCAGCGGCTACCACACCTCCCACACCAGCTGCCACAGGTGGGGCCTCAGGTGCCACTACTGCCCGCTGCAAAAAAAGAACATCGGGGACTAGTCAGGCCACTTCCTTGCCCCTTACAGCTCTGCCTGCCTCCCCATCATCAACTCACATGTTGTGGGGGTGCCAGGAGGGGGCTGGCCAGAGCATGGATGATGCCATTGAAGGCCATGATGTCCCACACGACAACATGGCTAACCACAACTGTCCATGGAGCCTGTGGAGAAACCAGAGTCAGGCCCAGTGGGTGAGTGGGGCCCAGGGTCAGTGGGGAGGGGCAACGTCCAGGCCTACCACAGGGGCTTGAGAACTGTTGTCAGGGCCCACATCACTGAAGACAAGGCTGAGGCCCAAGTGGGAAGGGAGTGAGGTACCGTGGCTGGCATTGGCACTAAGGAAGGTAGCGTTGGAGGCATGCAGCTCCAGGTCTGGGCCACTCAATGTCTGTAGGTAAAGCACAAGCTACTCAGCCTGTTGGTCTGGGCCAGCCAGTGGGGAGCAGGCCATACCCACTGCTGGTTACCATGTTGTCCACAAAGCCTTCATTGACAGGAACAAAGAGTGTTTTGTACGTGAGCTCATCATCCAGGAAGTCTAGGAAGTCAAGACCTCGAGGAGTGGTGTTAGCATAGTCCAGCAGCATCTGGGAAGGTGGTAGGGCAGGGCAGTGAGCAGGCTCCCTCCCCAGAGATCCCACGACCCTGAACCCTCTGGGCCCCTGCACACCCCATAGAAGATGGAGAAGTTGGCGGTGGCAGCCAGTACATCAAGCAGCTTCCCATTGCATGTGCTGGTCCCATCACCCACAAAGCCATCACGGCATCGGCAGGCCACATCTGCAGAAAAGGGGGTTCAGTGGGTTGGTGGGTCAGTGGGAAGGGGCGGAGCTGGAGAGTGAGGCATATTGGGGGTGGCTGCACCTTGCATACGGTAGCAATAGGCATCCCAGCGCCGTGACAGGTTCTCCTGGGTGCCCAGGCTGACTACGCCCACCTGACCAGCACCACAGTCTGCCTCAGGGAAAACGACGGGGTGGCCAGCCGAGCCGTTGGCCAGCCAGCCCACGAGGCACCGGTGGAAGCCCAGCTGTAGGAGCAGGAGGGGATAAGACTCAAGGCCCAAGTCAAAGGGCTCCCACAGGCTTGGCTCCACATTTCTGGACCCCACACACCTGCTGGGCAGCAGAGAGCTGAGGAAGAGAAGCAAGAACAGCTCCCTGGGCCCCGCACGCTGCCTCAGCCTCTGAGAAGTTCAGACCATAAGGGCCACTGGTGGCCTGGAGGTGGAAGACACCACCCCGTTTCTCTGCAGAAAGGAGGGATACACAGTCAGCTGTGGACACTGAGGTAAGGCACAGGCACTGGGACCAGGCAGGGAAGCGTACCCTGGAAGTGCAGGTCAGTGCACACGGCATCCACGTGACATGGTGGGGGCTGGCTCAGGCAGCGGTCCACTGGAGGCTCAGGCTCTTCCAGACAGTGCAGCCCATCACCCACATAACCAGCATGGCACACACAGCGCCGTGCATTCTGGGGCAAAAGAGCAGGCAGGTGCCCTTCAGTGACTGGGAGGATCCACTTTGCAGGACCTCCCCACCCAGCTGCTTGGCTCCCCTCCTGCTCACTGGGCCAGTACTCAGGCAGTCAGCATGCTCACTGCAGCCCCCTCGGTGGCCATCTTCACAGGGGTTGCGGGCCCGGCAGCTCCAGCCGTCACCCTCGTAGTCTGGCAGGCAGGCACAGGAGACCACAGTGCCTACCTGGCTGCAGTTGGCATGCTCACTGCAGCCGCCATGCCCATCCTGGCACAGGTCTGCCACTGGGGCAGGAAGAGAGTGGTTGGACCAGGTGACAGGAGGGGAATGGGTTCTCCCGCCTCATGTCCTCACCCGCCTGCTCACCTGTACATGTGCGGCCATCCCCTTCATAGCCCAGGCTGCATTCACAGTTGTTGCCTGCACGGCATACTGCCTGGGGTGCACAGGCTGGGGCACACACAGGCTGCAGCTCTGCCCCCCACATATCAAGATTAGTAGCTGCCCTCCTGGATGCCCCCAGATCCCCTCCTGCTCACCCTCAGTGCCTCCACCTGGCACACGGGTGGGGTGCACACAAGCTCAAGGGTCACTCACCCAGCTGCACCTCACAGCGTGGCCCAGTCCAGCCTTCCTCACAGAAGCAGGAGCCAAAGCCCCCAAGGCCCTCATCACATTGGCCATGAGAGGTGCAGCGACAGGCTACAGAAAGGGACAAATTAGAGGCTGGAGTTGGCACTTGGGCCAAGGGAGGCAGGGAGCAGGGCTGAGTGGGGCACGATGACTCACCTTGGCAACTGGGCCCAAAGGCCCCTGGGGCGCAGAGTTCACATGCTGTCCCAGCAAACCCTGGATGGCACCAACAGTGCCCATTGCCGCTCATGCCATCCATGCATACACCATGGCCACTACAGGGGTGGCTGGCACCCCCAGGGCACGCTAGGGGGTAGGGTGGGAGAAGTGAAATGGGTCCAGGGGCTTTCAGCCTGTGCTGCCTCACAGGCACCCCCAGCCCAGCCACATTATCCATCCTCCATCCAGTGGCAGCCCAGGCTCTTTCAGAAGCAGCAACCCCTCTGCCCCAATTGCCCACACTTGCTGAGAACCCTCCAGGCCCCCGTGCTCTGGAGAACACCCAGACCCCACCACACCAGGTTCTGTACCATCTACACACGCATCCCACCTCTTAGAGCACTCTGTCCTGGCAAATTCCACCCCACCCCAGACCTGCCCAGCCCCTGCCCACTCAAGGTCTCTCAGAAACAATAGCCAGAGCTGTGCCCTCAGCGGCTGGAGGAGCCAATCAGCAGTGTCTGCAACCTCAGGACACTCACCTCGGCACTCACTGCCATAGTGACCCGGGCAGCAGCTGGGCTTCCAGGTGGTAGTGACACAGTTGCGGTGGCAGCCCCTGGCCCGACGTTGGGGATGGGCCCAGATGCTGTGCAGTCCCAAGGGATACAATGTAGGGGACATCCAGTACTTTGTGAGGTAGCGCCAGCACAACTGGGGGCTGCCCTGAGCCAAGAGGAGTCAGGCTACAAACAGCCTGAGCTTAGTGGTCCCTGGGCCCTGCCCAAAGCTCACTCAGCTCTCAGACCCTTACCTGCTCACGTGAGCCTTCAGGACAGGGCGGCTCCCGGCCACAGATGCTGCAAACCTCCTGGAAGGAATGGAGGCCAATACAGCAAGTTCAAGCATCTGAACAGTACAGATGGGCTCGGGCCCTTACCTTCGCACCTCTGGCCTCCCTCACCAGCCACAGTGGCCGAGTCTCAAAGCTGTCGCAGCGGGCACCAAGGCCAGGTGGTTCCAGCAGCTGGTCAATGCCATAGGCCAGGCCACCCACAAAGGGCAAGTGCCGCTGCACAATTCGGGCATCATCCTCACCCACTGTGAGCTCACCCTGTAGGCAGAGGATGTGGAATAAGTGGGGGTCACAGTTGCCCAGAGCCCACCCCCCAATGCCAGGGCTCCTGCCTCCTCTCTGGACTCACCGGCCGGGCACGACTACAGGAAAAGGAGATGGGGGTCCCATACATGGTGCGGAGTTGGCCCAGGTTGGGCAAGTCGGATGCCAAGGCCTGAGCAGATGAAGCCATGGTTGGAGCTGGGTGGGCAGGCTGGGTGGCCGTCAGTGGGGACCAAGGACTGGGGCACACCTACCTCTACATTACGGATTATATGGCCCCGAAGAATGGCTGCTAGCTTGCCGCGGTGGTCCTCATGGTAGAGCCAGGCCTGGCGATCAGGCGAAAGTGCTCGTAGGGCGGAGTCTGTGGGCCACAGCATTGTGAAGGGCCTGTGGGACGCATCTTGCAGCAGGGGCAGGAGACCAGATGCCTGGTGTGGCGGAGCAGAGGTGGGACAGTATCAGCCCGGTTGGACTGATGGGCAGGAAGGGGCTCTGGGGCTCACCCAGGCAGCCTTCCCACCAGCTACACTACTCTGTAGCCATCCCAGGCAGCTGTGTGTGAACATGCATACAGGGATAAACTTGCACACGTCCTGACTCTTGTCAAGTGTGTGGGACAGATAGCATGCTCATCCTTGTGCTCACACTGGGAAGCCCATGCACACAAACCTGGCCTGTGCCCACAGATATGCCCACTCACACAAGGGACAGGCTTGCACAAGGGACAGGGTGTGCACAGACAGGTGAGCATACACAGTTATACACACTCATGCACACACCCATAGGCTCATATGTGGGAGCAGTACCATCAAAAGGTTGCTGAAAATCTTGTAACCGAAGCTCTCTGCTGCGGCAGTGACATTTCTCTAGGGAAAGGCACTGGTGAGCTATGAGTTCAGATTGGGAGGGAGAATCTCAAGCCCCTAGCTTCACCTTCCAGGTCATACCGGTGGGGTCCGGGCAGCGTCCGGCTCCCAGTGTAGCACGTCGGGCGGAAGCAGGACACGGTCGATGAAGTGCAGGATGCCGTTCACTGCCTGGTGGTCACTGCTCACCACTCGTGCGAAGTCATTGAGGTAGATGCTGCCCTGGGGGCGGGGCAGGGATGCATGGGGGTGGGGGCCGAAAGTGAATGAAACCAATTGGTGGCTCATGAACTGTGGGTGGGACCTGAGGCAGGCGTGGAGCTTTGGTCGGGCAAGTCTGGCAACAGAAGGTAAGTGGGGTCCAGACAGAGAGGAGGGCAGGTCTCATTGCTGTCTTTCTGTCTCTGTTTCTCCCTCTTTCCCTTTCCCTCACTCCCTCAGCCGGGAGCGGAGCATGTGCACGGGCCAGGAAGTCTTGAGCAGGGGAACAGGTCCGTGGTAGTGGGCAGGGTTTAGGGCTGGACTCAACTCTGACTCAGTAAAGCCTGCCGGCCACCCAGGGGGAGTAAGAAGGTCTTAAACACGTGGGGACAGGACACAGGCTTGCAGGGGCAGTGGCGACGGTGGCAGGCGCTTGAGTCTATGGACCGCTCATGTCCCAGCCAGGGCCTGGGCTCACCTCCCGTTCGCTGAAGCGAAGAGGGTGCCCGGAGAGCGTGGTGACATAGCCTTCCTCTAGCAGATCCTGGCTCCGCAGCTGCCGGCAGCCGACCACGTGGTAGCGGAACACCAGCTGTTGATGGGCTCGGATCCGGGCCAGGTCATCCTGGAATGGAAGTCGGAAGGGTGGAGGGGGAGCCCCAACTGCTACTTCTGCCCACACGGTATCCATCCCTTCCCAGCTTTGTCCCTGGGGGCTGTTACCTGTGACAGGTTGGTCATTAGATCTGCATGCGGCACAAAGATTGTGAAAGGCCCGTCGCCCTTGAGCTCACTGTATTTCTGGGGGAGAGGGGAAACAGCTGGAGGAGAACAGGGGCAACCTGGGACAAACTTGTGGCATCCATAGATCTTCTAGGAAAGACCTGGATTCTGAGAGACTATACCAACCCCTGACCAAACTGGAACACCAAAGCCAAGAGACAGGTGGGGCCTGTGGGTAGAGAGGCCCAGGCTAGACCGAGGAAGTAGAAGCCAGCTGGTCACTCACCAGGAGGTGAACGTTGAAGAATGAGGCATGCCTGTCCTGAAGGAGCTCCTGGGGGGTGGGGGGGGGGCGGTGGAATGAGGCTCAGCTCAGATTTGGGGTTGCCCCCATTCAGGGCCTGGTGACTTTCCCAGCATCTGTGGCCCAAGGTCTGGCCGAGGCAGAGATGCGGAAAGGAAAGCCAGGGGCATCTGAGCTAAGGTCAGGATTAGTTTCATGGATCATAGCTGGGTCAGGCCCAGGTGGAGTCAGGAGTCAGTCTCAGGATCATGGTCAGGGCCAGGATCAGGATCAAACCTGGGGTCTTAACCAATATCATGTGTCACACCCAAGGGGGGCATAGCCATGGTTGGGTCAGGGGTCCCACTTGGGTATCATTACCAGGTTGACTCGGGCATGGCAGGTGAAACCATCTCCCATGGCGTAGGCTGCATCACAGGTGCATGTCCTCTGGCCATCCCCTGTGCTTTTGCACACAGCGTAGCGGCTGCAGCCTCCATTATTCTGAGGCAGGGATAGGAGAGGGGGGCCTCAGTGGCACCCAGGACTCCTCTGCCCCAACCAACCCTATGGGAAGGGCCAGGAAGTTCCCTGTCCAACCCCCAAAGCTCTGTTTCCTACTGATCAGCTACGCTTGAGCTTGTGGGGAGAGTGGCTCACCCTTCAGAGACGCTTAGAACCCTGCTAGGGACGAGGAAGGCTGGTACCTGCCTCGGTCTCCTCCCCCTGTGAAATGGAGTGGGGCTTGGGGCCTGACCTGGGAGCAGGGGTCCAGGAGCTCACAGGTCTGGATGCCATCCCCACTGTAACCTTCGCGGCAGCTGCAGGAGACCTGCCCCAAATCCTGATCAGTGGGGCTGCTGGGACCCAAGAGCAGGCCAGCGCCCTGGACAGACGGGGCACCCGTGCCAGGCCCGGTTACACCCCTACCCATGGGGGAATGGTATATCCTGGGGCTGTTGTGCTGACCTGCTGGGGACCTGTGGGAATACACTCAGCGTGCACGTGGCAGCCCCCATGGTGGATGAGACAGCTGTTGGCTTCTGGGGCAAGAGACACTGGGATGAGGGGGCCCAGGTAGCACTTCCATTCACCTGTCCACCCACATGTTCACCCCCTACCCTCAGCGCCCTCAGGCCCTGCACCCCCCATATACCCCTCAGCCCTTCCTGGTCTGACCCAGGCCACTAAAATCAGACTCCTAGTCCCACATACACCAGGGTGGGGACCCCAGCCTCACCCTGGCACAGCTCCCCGTCACCCATGTAGCCGTCCTGGCAGATGCACGTCCGCTGTCCTGGTGCCACCTTGGTGCAGTTGGCATGCGGGGAGCAGCCCCCATGGTCATGGGCACAGGGGTCCACCTCTAGGCAGATGATCCCAGAGAGTTGTGAGGAAAAGATAAGGAAGAGAGTGGAGATGGGAGGAGGGCATGAAAGAAAAGAAAGGCCAAAGGGAAGGCTTGGACCCAAAATAGGACAGGGAAAGGACCTGGACCCAGAGGGGTAAGGAGGGTTCTATGGGAAAGCCACCCCAAAATGTCATGGGGAGCTTGGGGCATCAGTGTGGCTGGACCTGAGCAGTAGGTGCCGTTGCCTGAGTACCCTGCAGCACAGACGCAGGCGGGGGCTGCCGCCGAGTCCCCTACACAGCTGGGAGGGGTGACAACAGTCAGCCCATGCCCACCAGCCCTGCCCGCACCCCAGGCCCCCGCCCACTTGCCCACCTGCTCCAGGCTGAGCTCACTCACTTGGCATTAGGGTCACACTTCTTTGGGCAGTGAGGGCCAGTGATTTCTGTAGATGGGAGGATGGGATGGTTCTGGTCATTCAGACCCAGGAACCACAGCCTCCGGGGTCACCTGAGTCCCCTTTGGGGCCACTCACTCTGATCACAGTGTCGGCCCTGCCAGCCCACATTGCAGACACAGCTTCCATTCCCTTGCAGCCCCTCTTGGCACAGCCCGTGGGCACAGTCACACACTGAGAGTGGACAAAGGAGGACAGGAGTTACCCATTGCCTCCGTCTTGCCCCGCTGTGGTGCCTCCATGACTGCCGTCTGCTGCCAGGACGCCCACCTTTCCTGGTCCCTCCCCAGTCCTCACCTCCAGTGCAGTTGGGCCCGTAGCGGCCCAGCTCACACATCTCACAGGCTGTTCCGTGGAAGCCCTCGTGGCAGCGGCACTCCCCACTACCCAGGAGCCCGTCCTGACACCGTCCGTGGCCCGAGCATGCCCTGCCCAGCTGCCCTGGGCACGGCTCACACAGTGTGCCGAAGAAGCCCGGGCAGCAGTCGGGCACCTGTGAGGAGGGGTTGCGAGGAGGGGCCCACACAGGCCGGGACAAGCAAAACGTTAGCAGTGGGCAGGATATCTTGAAACCACAAAGCCAAAGGATGAAGCAATTTGGACCCGGGGAAAAGGAGACCACCTTCTACAACACTCTCCACAGTAGGGGTGAAACTCAAGCAGGGAAGGGCTGTGCCAGATCCCACAGCGAGGGGCAGAGCTGGACCCTGCTGCTGCCCCTGGGGCTCAGTGGGTGTTGCCAGCTCTGGGCCTTTCTCCTTTTCCCGTCCCCCTCCCAGGGGGCATAGCCACAGGAACGAACACTGGTCCCTCTGACTTCTGACCTCCCTCCCTTCCTTCCCTTTTTTCTGGATTTACCCTAGTCCCAGCCCTGCCTCTGCCCTTGAAATCTAATCTGGGATCTGATCTCCCCGGGTCCCCCACTCCCATGGCCTTCATTCTGGTCAAAGATTGGGGCATAGAGGTTCAGGGCAAACCTGGATCTTCTTGGCACACGTGTAAGAACAGCCCCGGGAAAAGGAATAGCCAGAGCTGTAGAGGCAGCTCTTCTTGGGGGTGTCCTGGAGATGGGGACAGGCAGGAGGGCTTATCCAGGGGCTTGGGCAGGGCGGGGCAGGGCAGTGACTGGGGAGACAGACAGAAGGACTGCAGATCCCGTGGGTAAGACACGAGCAGGATAGCAGAAGGAGCAGGCTGGATGGAGACAGACCAATGAGGAGGGGCAGGCAGGACCCAGGCTTGGGCCACAGGGTTGCAGGCCTCCAAGTGCAAGTCTGAGTGAGGCCTGCTGTGGGCAGACCTGGGCCCAGGCCTGCTGGCATCTACCAGGGATGTCGAGAGGCCCCTGCCATTCCAGTTCCCCACACCTCAGTGGGCAGGGCCGGCCCAGAGGGCTGGACACGTTAGGAGCGGTGAGGGCAGGGGAAGCAGAGATGGAATTGTGCCAAGCCCAGCCTCACCTCCAGCTGGAAGCCCTGAGGGCAGCGGAATTTCCTGGTGCAGTTTACACATTTCTCCTGCGGAGGGTGGGGGTGGGGGTGGTGGGGGCAGAGTGTCAGGTGGTCCTGGGAAGGAGGCCCCCAAACCCATCTTCCTTCAGGGCAGGCTGACAGCTCCCCAATCCCTGACCAAGTGCCCATGCCACCAGTCCACACCTCCCAGCTCTGAACGGCCTGGCTGCCGTCCTCCGACCCCAGCATCTCACCCGCAGGGCCTCAGCGTGGCTATATAGGCAGCGGCTCGAGCCCACCGTCAGGACTCCAGACAGGCCAAGTAGTGTGCAGCCAGGCCCCTTTAGCACCCGGCCTTCCAGCGGCACATGGTTCACCTCAAGCTGGGAAGTAGGGCAGGAGGCTGAACCCAGCCCGGCCCACCCCACCCTCACCTCAGGGCTCCGCCACAGGGCTGGGGCTCTCTCCACAAATGGGAGCCTCCCAGGGGGCCATTTCCTGGAGCAGAGGTTGGAGTCTCCAGGTGGAGGAACTCCAAGGACAAGGGGCCTTCAAGAGTAGGGTGCCTGGGGGTGGGTCTCCTTGTCCCCACAAACCTGGCCACTATGGTTGTAGAAGACCAGCCAGTGAGTGGGGCCCAGGAGGGAGTTTCGGTGTCCCCCCCTCCACAGGACTTTCAAGGACAGCGCCTCCCCTAGGATCACATGGTGTCGCACTGTGTCTGCATCCTGAGGGGAAGGAGAAGCTCAGGGCACTCCAGGTCTACCCAGAGCCCTGAACAGTAGCATTCTACCCATTGTGGCCCTTTGCACTCCTCCCCCCACCCCCGCCGCCCCATCCCAGTGACCTCACCAGGGTGCTGCTGTTGCCCTGGGCCTCCAGAGAGTCATTTGTGGGCACAAAGATGGTATAGGCGGTGGCGGCCTCAATCTGGGACACCAGACCATGGTGCTAGGGACAGGGGGGTCGGGGTCAGGGTCAGGTATGGGCATAATCGCCCCCAGTCCTGATGCTGCCCCCTCTACTCTTGGGGAAGGATGCCCCTGACCATGGACCTCTCCTTGTGCCCTTACTTGCAGCAGATCCCGAAAGAGGTGGAAGGCAGGCACCAAGTCCAGCTGCTGCAACAGCCCATGCCTGCCTGGCGCATCCTTCCTTGGAGGCAGTAGGACCTGTCACAGAGCATGGGGCTGGTCAGTACGTCACTGCCTCTTGTTCTGCTTAGAAGGTTCCCTGAGCACACTCCCCTCCAGCTTTACCTGGCTGAGGATATGTAGGACGCCATTGGTGGCAAGAAGGTCAGTCACGTCCAAACTGGCGTTCTGCACCCAGACCCTCTGGAAGGCAGCAGGCAAAGCTCAGCCACAAGTGGACACAGGTAGACAATTAAAAGTGGGTGTGGCACCCACAGAGAGGCTGTTGGGCACACAGGCACCCACAGGCGGTCCCCAGCCTGGCCCAGACACCCTCAGACTCGGGACTAACCAGATGGGCACATGGGCCCTCAGCAGGGCCCATGAAGAGAAGGACGGTGTGTATGCAAGGACCAAGAGGGGCAAGCAGCTCCTAGTAGGGCAGTCACAACACTGGTCCAATGTCAGTGTCCAGCCCGGTGGCAAAACTGTCCCTGGCACATCCTCTGAGCCCAGTCCTGGGCAGGGCGAGGGAACCCCGATCTCACCCTCAGGGATCCCTGGTCCAGGAAGCCTGCAGTCACTCAAGTTCCCTCCCATGCTCTACATGGTCCACTCTGCTGCCCAGAGCTTGCCACATACCCCACTGATGTTGTGAATCTCCCAGCGTGTGGTGGGGCTCAGGGTGGCCACCTCCTGCCCGCCCAGCTGGGCCAGCTCCTCCTCAGAGAGGGCACCCTGGAGAAAATGGGCCCTGAGGGCACAGTTGGGGAGGTACCATGGAACTAGGTTAGTGTGACCTACAGAGACCCCTGGGAGGGGGCTCTGCCCCCAGGGACAGACACATGCCAGGTGGGAGCCTCTGGGGAGGGGCTAGGTCTCTCACAGAAGCCCCATCCTAGGGCCCCCCTGGGCTGCCCACCTGACCAGTTGTGGCAACATCCTTGGCTGCAGCCAGAAGGCCTGGTCCTCGGGGCTCATCCTGCGGACAGCAGACTCAGAGGGCACCAGGGCTGTGACTCGGCTGTCGGCAGGAAGTGTGATCCCGGCTATCTGTGCACACAGTGTGCAGAGGGACAGGTGGATGAAGGCAGCCATCATCTTGAGGTCATTTGCGCCCACCTCTAGCTCATGGAGATGTTCTGTGGCCCCCCTGTGTCCAGGGGGGCCTCCTGGATTTGAGTCCTACCTTGATCCACTGGTAGAAGGCAGAGAAGTGGGCATTTGCCTCCAACTCCTAAGGGGAAGGAAATAGCTGAGCTCATAGGCTTCGGGGACAAACCTGAGTCTCCCTTCCCTAGGCCCTTAGCACTGCCTCTTCCCACCTGAGGTTCCCAAGCACAGGGACCCACTCACCCGGAAGATGTCTCCATAGCAACTGAAGCCATCACCCCCATAGCCAGGGGGGCACGTGCAGACCCGTTGACCTCCCCCCACCGCCTGGCAGGTGGCCTGCAGTGGGGGTGGGGCAGAGAGACATGGCCCTCCATTTAGCACCCATATGGCAAGCTGCATGGCACCCATCCTCCATCTCTCTGTTCGACCTCATCACCCAGCCTCCTGCTGCCTGGCTTTCCAACCACCTGTCCCCACCATTTGTCTCCATCCATCCAGTCACCACTCACGTCACCCCTTTGGAGTGCCTGGCCCTACTCTCCAGGATCACAGTGCATTTGACACGGGTCACCCACCCCACCATGACAGATGGATCACGGAAGCCCGGGTCTGTGGGAGCACCCAGGAGGCCTTGTACCTTCAGGAGAGGTCTGAGCTGAGAATGGGAGGAGCTACCCAGGGCAAAGGTGTGGCTCAGAGAAGCCTTCCAGAATACACCAGTAGAGGTATGGTGGCGTTAGAACTGAGTGAGATCAGGGGACAGCAAGGAACTCAGAGTGACTTTGCAGAGGAGCGTGAATGGGGGCGGTGGGGGCCAGGGCAGAGAGAGGAGGCTGAGCAGGGGCTGGGCCTTAACATGAGTGAAAGCTCTATCCTGTGGGCAAGGGGCTACATAGTTTGGATTTGGGGTTTGGAAAGAAGTCGCTCCTGACCAGAGACTTGGACACCGGGGAGACACAGCTGAGGCCCACCCCAGAGAGTCTTCCCGGGCTCTGAGCCCCCTCACCAGGTCATGGCAGCCACCGTTGCCTGCCCGGCAGGGGTCGATGGGGCTGCACACATAGCCGTCCCCCGCAAATCCCAGCTTGCAGGTGCACCGGCTCTGGAAGGGTTGGGAGTGGAAGGCTTCATCTCACCAGGAGCACCCCTCACTTTCCTCCTCCACCCTCAGCTCTTGATGGGCGCTGTCCCCTGGGGAGGCCTGCTCAGACCCAGAGGAACTTCTCCCAGCCCCAGCTTCGGAGAGCTGGTTCCAGATGGGGAGACTGAGGCTCTGAGGGGCTCTTGGGGTGAGCCTGAGAGTGATGGCATCTGCAGAGATGCAACCAGGGAGTCTGTGCCCTTCTGCTCTCAGGCCTGGACCCTGCCAGGACTGCTGGCCGTCAGTGGTAAGTCAGCCAGTGTTTGCCAAGGGCAGCCCCAGGGATAGCAACTCAATCCCACTCCAACTCAGCAACCCTGCTCAGCAGCTCTGGTCCTCCCCCTACCTCCTTGAACTTGGACCCACTGCAGACGAGTGGCTGGTGAGATTCTCCAGATCTCAGTGCCCTTGTTTGCGAGTTGGGCGCATCTCAACCGGCTCATTCCATTCCTCAGAGGGACTTTAAAGCTCCCGGTGGGGTTTGGAGCTCTAGCCCTCATGCCCATCTGAGCTCTCACTGCTAAGGCCCCAGGGGCTGGGGGCTCAGGCCAATGTGGGGTGGGAGGCCTGGGAGCCCCAGGGATCACTGCACAGGCCTGGGCCATGAAGGGGCTGATCCTGAAGCAGTGTGGCCTGGCCTCCCAATTGGCATATTATATATTCTTAAATGCTAGCCAATCCTCAGGGCTGAACATCTTAACATGGAAGTCTCCAGGTTCTGAGACCCTGAGACTAGCCTGAGACTGCAGAGTTCTAGAGCTGGAGTCTGGGAGTCTAAAGAGTTTGGAATGTCACTGCCCTTGAGCAGGGGTCTCTTCCTGCTTTGCCCAGCAGCAAATCCCTAGCATGGAACAGTTGCCTGGTAACATGTGGGAAACCAATGAGTGAGTGAATGAACCAAGTGTCCGCAGACGATGGCCCCAGTGCCCAGTTAAAGCATGGAACACATTGATTTGGTTATAAGAGTCCTTTATCCTGAGAGATGGGGACCCCAGCCTTCTGATTTGAAAAAAGTGCTGCCTAGACGGGCCCTGGAGAGCGCTCTCCAGGAAAGCTCCTGGGGCCTTCGCATGGCTTCCAGCACATGCCTGATGCTTCCAGATTGTAGGGCTCAGCATTGCAGAACTGGATTCTCCTTGGTGTCTGAGGTTTCAGACCCTGAGCTTGAATTCTTGGAGTGGACATTCCTGGAGTCCAGAGTACCCCAGAATGGATGTTCCCCACCCACTGTCCCCAGGCCTGCTGCACCTCACCTGCCCGGGCCCCACGTAGCTGCAGAGGGCGTCAGCGTGGCAGCCGCCTCGCACGTCCAGCTCACACTCATCGATGGCTACGCAGACACGGCCGTCTCCACTCCAGCCCTTGTGGCATGTGCAGTTGTGGGTGCCCAGGGCCCCAGGTACACACTCGGCCTATGGGAGCCACAGATCAATGAGTTGGGGCTGCAGGGCAGCAGGCAGAGAGCAGAGGCCAAAGGAGTCCCACCTCCCACCCCTGAGTCAGAACTTCAGGGAAGAGACAATGAGACTGACATTCTCTGAGCAGCCGCCACGGTCTGGGTTGGAGCAGGGGTTGCTGGCTGTGCAGGAGAAGCCATCGCCCTCAAAGCCATCGAGACAGACACACCTGGGGGTCGATGAAGGGGGGGCCTCCAGTGAACCTCTGGACAAGGCCAGAGGCTGAGCGGTGAGGTCACGGACAGGCAGAGAGGAAGCTCGAGCCCTCACCTGGTGATGCCCCCCTGGCTCACACAGCGGGCCTGCGGGTGGCAGTTCTGGGCCTGCTCCGTGAGCCCACAGCTCCCCGTGGACTCGTTGCAGAAGCGGCCGCTGAAGCCTGGGGCACACGTGCCGCTCTGGCACACCCCACCACTGCCTGGACGATTGTCACATAGACCGTGGACACAGCCGCAGTCTGTAGGGAGGAGGAGGGAGCAGGGAGACTCAGGCAGGGGCAGAGCTGGCTGGGAGCCAGGATGCAGCTGGGCAGTGCTGGGCATGGGGCAGCCAGCAACAGTTTGGTTAAACCACAATTCTCTTTCCAGAATGGGTGAAGGAGACATCTATTTCTGTTCCCAAATCCTCATCCACTCCTGGGGTTTAACCTTTCCTCCTGGGGCTCTGTTCCCCTTCCTCAGAGTCCCCAGCCCCCTTTCCAAGCAGAACCTTTTTCCTCCCTGGTCAGCAGCCTGGGCCAAGACCACCCACCTTCCTGGCACTTGTCTCCGTGCTTGTTTGGGTTGGAGCAGATGTGGCAGGCGATGCCCTTGTAGCCTGGGAAGCAGAGGCAGGCCCCATTGCCCAGGACCCCGTCGCTGCACTGGCGATGACGGGCAGGAAGCAGGGTCAGTCATGGGGCAGGGACTCTCCCCACCCCTTCCCCCAACACCCTGCTTGGGGATGGGCTGACTGAGCTCCTGCTCCCACTGCCTGAAAGACCTCACCCTGGATCTTCCGAATCACCGATGCTGTCAAACCTAGCCCCTTAAAGGGCACCCAGCCCTGGAGGCTTCATGGGTGACTTCTGCTCAACCTAGAAACCTAGAAACACACAACCCCCCCCCCCCACCGCCCCCGCCTTCCTTAGCCAGGCCCGAAAGTACCCTTGATGTTAGAGTGGCAAAAGCTGACCACAAAAGAAAACTATTCACAAGTAGTCCTTATGAAAGTAGATATAAAAACCTATCTAATTAAGTATTTCTAACTAAAAGAGCAAAAATAATATGACCCCACTTCCACTGCCTGGATATGAGAAACCTGAGGCCAGACAGAGGCAGGCCTGGCTCAGACACAACCAGTCACTGGCCAGCTTCGGAGAAGTCCATCTCGCCCCGGGGCAGGAGGGGACTCACGTTGCCTTTGCCATAGCAGGGGTTGGAAAAGCCCCCAGGACACTGCGCGCAGTCCGGCCCAAAGAACCCTTTGCAGCAGTCACGTTTCTGCAAGAGACAGAGTGTGTCTGCAGGTCCACCTGGCGCCATGCCCCTTCTCAGGGGCAAGGGTTGCGGGGAGGCCCCTGGGGGATGCCTTTCCCACCACTAGGACATGGCACTGCTCTCTGGGACAGGCAGTCCGTTCAGCCCCAGCCTGGGGGCCCAAAGGAGAAGCAGGTGCCCAGGTCACTGGGGACAGAGAGGCCCGCGCCCAGCCTCACCAGGAAGGTCTGGTTGCAGTAGTGAGCGCAGCCCTTCTTCAGGACGTTGAGCCCCGTAGGGTCATGGGTGTAGACACACTCCTCAGGAGAGACGTCCTGGGGTGGGCCGTGCCAAGCTGGTCAGCAGGTGTGGGTCCTGGGCTGACCCCCTTTGCCAGGCAGCCTTGGTCAAGGGTCCTCCGCCCCCTGGGTCCAGCACTCCCATCCTCAGTGGGACTCAGGGGTGCTGAACCTCCAAGTCCAGCCTCGCGTCCCAGCGCCACTGTCCCACCCTGATCCCGGGCAGTCAGGGGTCAACACCGAGGGCTGGGCCCAGGGACACTCACCAGCTTCACACTATTAGGGGGGCACATGCCGGTGGCGTTCAGGGCTTGGCAGTCCGCACAGGAGCCCTGGGCAGGGCACGGGGGTGGGGAGAATGGTCAGTACCAGTTTATTTATGCAGCGAGCCCTAAGAAAGTGGCGTGGAACCAAGAGCAAGCTGGGGTCTGAGAAAGCGTGAACCACAGGAGGGTCGGGAGATGGCGGCGGGCAGAGGGAAGAGTGGGAACAAAGGCCCCATGGTGGGAAGGAGCTTGGTGTGCGAGTGTGAGAGTCCCAGGCCTGGGCAGGGAGACTGCGAGAGAGCGGAAGATGCAAGAATGTCTGGCAGGGAGATCAGCAGGCAAAGGATGTTGGCGGGTCCAGGCAGGTCCGTGGGGTCTGTGCCCGAGCTGCCCGCAGCCCAGCCCCGCCCCGGAAGATGACTCCTACACGGGGTCCGGGAGGCCCGGTTGTGTGGCGTGTGCTCACCACCACGATCTGGTGCTGCTCCTGGCTACAGTGCTTGGGCAGGATGGGCAGGATGGTGGGGGGCAGCAGGATGCCCTCCAACATGTGGATCACGCCATTGGCAGCCAGCACATCCACTCTGCGCAGCGGGACCCCCTCAGGTCCCAGCAGGATGCGCCCCTGTGGCAGAGCCCAGTGTGCAAGCCATGCAGCCTGGCAGGCTCATGCCGGCCCTGCCGCTCCTCCTCTGCAGCCGGGAGGCTACACGAAGGGCAAGCCTGCCCTGGTCTTTCCCCCTCATCTCATCTCCTCGTCTCCTCGGTGGCGCTTCCTGCTCTGGCAGCACTGCTGCAGCCTCCTGCCCTGACCCACATGGTTCCCGGCATGGACCACTCCCGCCCTTGTGCTCCCCCTCCTCCTCCCTGGGGCCCTCCCAGCCTTTCAGCCTCAGGGAGAAGGATTTGATCTGTTCCCCTTCCCACACGACCCTGCCCTCCCAGGGCCTCCTTGCCACAGGGCTTGGAGCTTGAAGGCAGGTCTGAAAGAGGCAGAATGCCTGGACTTTTTCCTGCCCCTCCATAGGCCCATCCATTCCGGATGTGTTTGTATCTCACCTCCTCGGAGATGTTCACAGCCAAGACCTGGTTTGCCGTGGTCACAACCCGACCCTTGGAGATGAGTTTCTCAATGGTCAGCTGGGACAGAGAGGGGGTTGGCCTTAGGCTGGGCACTAGCCACATACCTCGGGGTACACACCGTCCTGTTCAAGTGATCCACAGCTACCGCCCAGGTCCCCAGGCTGTCTCCTCTGTGCTGTAACAGTCCAGATGGGCGAGGAGAGGGGAAGGGGCCCCTGCGAAGGCCGGTACCCACAGACAAACCCCTCAACAGCCCAGCATCGTGTGCGAGCGGGCTCACTCTGGAAGGAAGGCCTCTCACCTGGCCATGGCTGTAGATGTGGTGCCTCACTAGCTCTTGCAGTTTGGACAGACCCTGGCAGGGGGAAAAGAGCTTGGCTGCTGGAAGCCTGGTAGAGGAGGTGGAAGCCCTGGGCCCCCATGTCCCCAGCCCCTCTGTCTGCCCACGTACTGCTGTGAAGAGGTAGATCAGGCGGCCGTCGCGCAAGCGGTCCACAGCCTCGTTGCTCGGGGCGAAGACTGTGAAGGGCCCGGGCCCGTCCAGGACGGAGGGAAGCCCGCAGTTCTGTGGTGGTGGAAGGGGAGCCCAAGGTAGGCTCTGTGGCCAGCCCCTACCTGTAAGCACTACCTGGGCCCTGCTGCCCCCAGCCTGCAGGGAACCCCCACCAGGAATAGATAATAGACATCAACGGTGAACCTCAGGATGGTGATGGGCAAGTTCTGGGATGGGGGCATAAGCCTGTGCTACTCCAAACCTCAGATCATTGAGGGGCAGATTCTGGTTAATGGGGGGTCCTGGCCCAAAAGATCAGATAGGCTGGGACCTTTCCCCCAGACTCACCTCTAGGATGGTTTCAAACCGGCTGAAGGCCTCCATGGAGGCAAGGATCTGGCCAATAGTTTTCTGTAAAATGGGGCAAGCATTAAGGCACAGAGAAGAGTCAGAGATGAAGCTGCTTCAGCTCCAGAGGGGAAAAGCTGTGCTCCAGCCCTGCCCAGAGCTACCCTTGCCACCACTCTAAAGCCCGTGGGGGTAAGAGGTCACCCAGTGGCACAGGGTGGAGGGAGAGGAGGACACAGTCTTACCTTGGGGTCACTAGGTAGCTCCGATGAGGGCTGCCACCGCAGGGCAGTCACCACGTGGAAGACACCGTTTGCTGCCGGGTAGTTGGCCTTTTGGATGGTGAATATTTGCTGGGGAAGATCTTTGTATTTGTAGGTGTATTTCTGCTGAGAAATGAGACCTCTGGCTCAGATTCCTCATGCCAGCCCCCTATCCTGGAGCTGAGTCCCCTGTGACTCCTTCGGCCTCCAGGGTGAAGTTCCCCCTTTGTACCATGAAACGGTTGAAAGTGACTGTGATCTCCTGCCCAGCCAGCGTCCACCACTTGCGTGTTTGCTGCAGGCCTGCCAAATCCTCCAGGAGGTGCTGCCCTGCGATGATGTGCTGTCTGCAGAGCTGCTGGGCGAGGGATGCCTGTGGGCACAAGGAGACTGGGGTGCCAGGAGCCCTGGGCAAGTGGCCCTCTTCATGCCACCCTGCCTGAGCAACAGAGGGGACAAGATGCTCCCAAGCCTTAGTCGTCCGGAATGTACACTTCAGTCCCTGAATCCTGGGGCAGGGTCCAGGAAGGAGGCAAAGGCTGCAGCCAGCTCCTCAGTGGGGCTGGGGGCTCACATTCATGGTCCAGGAGGTCCTGGAGGAGAAGGACGGCACCAGCACAGTGAACGGTCCCGACGTGGTAAGGATCTCCCGGCAGCCCTGGTCTGGGGGAACAGGAGAGGGTACATCAGAATGGACCTGGGGAGACCCTAAGGTGTCAGTCTTTGGGTTTGGAGAGTTGTGCCAGGGAACACTGGGTCTACGGTAGATGTGGGCCTCAGGGTCTGGGGGCTAGCTCCCACCTCCACCATGCATTCCATCTCAGCCCACTCTGCTTGCATAACACCTGGGCAGAGAAACAAGGTATCTCTGCAGAGTCCACCCCTCCCTCCCTGGTGGCCGTGTTGGGATGGAGGGGTAAGGTCACACACCCAGCATGGCGAGGGCGACTCTCAGTCCCAGGAGCACTGCCCTTATCGGGGTGGCCTTCTGTATCTCATGGAGCAGGTGTCCGTAGCAGGCACGCCCATCCCCCACCTGGCCCTCCTTGCACATACAGCTGGGGGACAGGGAGAACTGGTTAGGGCAGGTGGTGTGGGCCAGTCTCCCCTCCTGGCCCACACCACCTGCCCCCCATGGCCTTGAGCTGAAGGTGCACACTTGTGCACACCTGCCCCCGCCTGGCCCACCCTCTCTGCTCTGCCCCTGGTGCCCACTCTGAGACCCATGTGCCCACCTGGTCTTCCCGTCGGGGGTCACCTGGCAGGTGGCTGAGCGGTCACAGGAGAAGGGGAAACAGTAGGGGGTGCAGCCTTCAGAGGCATTGCCGTTGATGCTGACCATGCCCGGCTTACACGTGCAGGAGGCCTGGGCAGGGCCGGGAGGGTGACATTGTGTCAGTGAGGACTGCTGGGGTCTGCCACAGCTGCAGAGCCCTGCTTGACCCCCACCACTGCCCTCAAGGACAGGGTGTCACTCTCTTCCCATTTTACAAATGGGGCAGGTGAAGATCCCGAAGGCCCTTGATTTGCCCGGGGACCCAAGCCAGTGTGGGTAGGTGGAGGGAGGGGCAGCCCTAGTGCAGGCCCTGGCTCACCTTGCCTGGCCCCTGGTACAGACATACGGTGGAGTTGCTGGGGCAGCCACCATTGCTGGCATTGCATGGGTCCTGGGGCAGACACACCGTCCCGTCACCATGGTAGTTCTTGGGGCAGCGGCACTGCGCCTTCCCCATGGGGCTCACTGAGCACTGGGCCAGTGGGGAGCAGGGTGATGGCTGGCAGGGGTCAGGGGCTGGCAGAGCAGAGAGAGAGAGAGCCAAAGTGAGCTTGGCTCCTGAGAGTCTGTCTCCTCCCCAGCTTCCATCAGGATGGCCCAAAGGCAGGTGAGCAGGTTGATGTAGACCTTGGGGATGACCCCCTTCACCTCCCTCAGAACATTTCTTTCTCCCCCTGAATGGCCAGACTGAACTTGCCAGTTTAAAAGGATACCATCCCAGTGCCTGCTCACCTTGAGCTAGGGTTCCCCTCCTCTAGGTCACACACTTACCTTGGCATGTGCTGCCCTGCTGAGTGTAGTGAGGCAGGCATCTGCAGGTGGGGTCTTCTGCAGAGCACTGGGAGTTGTGAGGACAGTGCAGGACCTGGCACTCGGGCAGCTCTGAGTGGAGAGGGGAGAGCATTGCAGTGGCCGTAGCCGCAGGTCTGAAAGGGACTCAGGAGCACAGATGCTCTGCCCAATTTGCTATGTGTTTCCGGCCAGGGCCTGGCCTTTGCTGGGCCTCTGGGCAGTAGAGTCTCAGATGTGACCTCCCCTTATCCATGACCAGCTGGGTGCTTCTCCTTCTAAACAGAAGGAAGTCAGGCCCTGGCAGGTGTGGCTCAGTGGACTGAGTGCCGGCTTGCGAACTGAAAAGTCACTGGATTGATCCCTGGTCAGGGCACATGCCCAGGTTGCGGGCCAGATTCCCAGTTGGGGACATGAGAGAGGCAACAGATCTGTCTCTCGCACGGGGATGTTTCTCTCCCTCTCTCTCTCCCTCCCTTCTCCTCTCTCTAAAAACAAATAATAAAATCTTTAAGAAAGAAAGAAACAGATGGCGGGCAGAGGTCCTGCTGAACCTGCTGCCCCAGCTGCCCCGCTCACCTTGGTCACAGTGAGGTCCGGTGTACCCAGCAAAGCACTGGCAGCTTCCATCCCCGAGCGGCCCGTGTCTGCACACACCATGCACACAACTGCACACTGGGAAGGACACACAGGGACAGGTGGGACAGTAGCTTCCCCCAGGAACACATGGGGGCGAGTCCCTGCCCTCTACATTTCCAGAACTCAGCTCCAGCAGGCACAGCCTCAAGAGTGCTGAGCACGGTGCAGGACGACAGGGGTGCTGGGAGCCTGGGGAAGCCCCTGGCCTAGGCGGGGTGCAGCGGGGGCTGAAAGATCCCCGTGAAGCCTCCTAGAACAGCGAGTGCAAGGGCTGGAGGTGTGATGAACCAAAGTTTGTGTCTCTAGAGGAGAAATGAAAGGCCGAGTGGCTCTGGGTGAGCCTGGTGGGGGCTGGCTGCAAGCACTGCAGGGGGACACTGGCCCTGTCCTCCTGCCCTGCCAGTGCTCACCTGACTGACAGTCAGGCCCGAACCGACTGGGATCTTGGCACTCCTGGCAGGCTGAGCCACTGAAGTTTTCCTGGTGGAGGGATACACCCAGTCAGTATGGCCCCTCCACTGTCCCCCTCCCTCCCCTCCCCAGCCTGCCCAGCTCTTACCTGGCACACGCATGTCCCGTTCCTGTCTATGCCGTCCAAGCACATCCCATGGCCATTGCACGGGGTCTCTGCCCCTCCAGGGCACTCTGTGGACCCCCCAGAACTCAGCTGTGGTCTAAGTACTCTCGATTCATCCCTGACCCAGCAGCCCCAGGCAGCCCCAGGCAGCCCCAGATGCAGCCCCAGGCAGCCCCAGATGCAGCCCCTCCCCAGGGCAGCCAGAGCCAGGCGGCCAGCTGTGCTGGCTCTCAGTCAGTGCTTGCTAAGTGAAGAGGGTGAAGGGGAATCCCGGCAGGTGCTGCAGATGGGGAGCCCGGGGCTGCGGTGTGAGGAGCTCAGCAGGGACTCCCTCCCCGCCTACCATAGCACTGGGACCCCCAGTAGCCAGGGCAGCAAGCCTTCTCCACCACGTCCTTCCAGCACTCGACGCTGCAGCCCCTCATGGACACCAGAGAGTCACCTAGCTGCACCTCGTAGCTGGGGATCAAGGGTGGGAAGGGCGATGGGCAGGGTGACGGGCAGGGCTCCCACTCTGCAGCCCCCACCCCAGCCCCCTGACGCAGGGTTCCAGGGGCCTTACTCCACCTCCCCTCTATGTGCCAGGCCCAGAGCCGAGCACAGGGCCTGGCCATCGCAGCCGTTCAGTAAACTTCAGCGGCCCCTACCCGCCCTCTGCCTGCTCCGCTTGCTGGAGGAGCCAACGGATGTGTGGAGAGGTGAGACCCTGCCCTCCTTGCCAGGCCAGCCAGGCTCTTCCTGGTCGCCTGACACCCCAGGGGATGCTCCTGGAATGGGCAAAGGTGAGGGTGGGGGTCCGCACCGGCAGTCCTCTATCTTCTCCGGGAACTCACGGAGCCAGCCCGAGGGACACACCCGCTTCTTGATGGCAGGGCACATGGTGCAGGGTGTGTGAGTGACAAACTTGGTTTTCACATCACAGCGTCTGGATCGCACCTGGGCCACGGACGGGGTTTGGCGTGAGGGGCCTGGGCCCTGCACCAGTCCCGCCTCTGTCCTGATCGCGGCAGGGCCTCTTATCCCTCTCAGGCTTTGGGCCCTGCCCGTCAGTGGGGACGTGATGAGGACAGGAAGGCCCCCGACATGGGGGAGACCTGTCTGTCCTCAACTGTGACTGCCATGGCACGCACCTGTGTCCACAGCCACACACCTCCGCCCAGGGCCCCACAGGCATGCCCGGAAGTCTCAGAGCCTATGCTTTCCGACACCAAGAGAATCTAGCCATTTGGTTCCACGTCAGCCCATTCATATGAGGAAACTGAACTCCCAGTGGGCGGCCCTTGCTCTGAGCTACCTGGCGACAGTGTGTGAGCCCAGACTCTCCACCTAGTGCTCATTTGCGTCTTTCATTTAAAAATAAACAGTAAGCGATGTGGCTGACACTGGGAAGGGCGCATACCCGTCCCCACTCCGCTGAGCATATCTGCACTCTGCTGCCAAATGACCCCCTCTGCAAGCCCATGGGACCATGGAGCCTGCCCCAGACCTGAGAGGCGGCCCATGCGGTCAGGAGCATGTGAGGGTCTCTGCATGCGTTTGGGCCAAGCAGCCCTGTTCCTGGAGACCTGACCCCAGGCCTGGCGCACTGCCCCACTGGTCGGGACCCAGGGGTCCACTGCCCATCATTGGCAGTGCTAGCCGCTCGGGAGCTAAGAGGATGGGGCAATGCTCCTGGCAGAGAGGTCAGGAGAGGCAAAAGGTGGGAAGGGGGAAGGAGCAAACAACCACATGTGATGAGACAGAGCAGCCAAGGAGAGGCTGGAGAAGGGCTTCTGGCCAGGCCATGGGGTGAGATAGAGTCGGGGCAGCCCCGTGAGACTCAGTTTGTGTTTTAAATGGGCTCTCTGGCGGCTGCTGCAGAACAGAGATTGGGGTGAAGGAAGAGGTTGTCACCTGAGGGTGCCAAGAAAGCCCTATGGTCCCATTCACTGGCCTGCCATAGCTCCTACAAGTCCACCCTCGGTGAGGCTACTTCTACAGCAGCAAAGTCTCAATAACTTACAGCACTGTACCTTGGACAGACGGAAGCAAAACCCTTGGCTGTGGGTCCAGGGAAGGGCCATGGGAAGAAGGTGCATTTCATGGAGGAGAGGTTTTGGTGGGCACTTGGGGCATGGCCTGGAGAGCTAAGATGTCATCTAAAAAATGCTGACCGTACTGGTCCAAAGGGAGGGAGCCCAGGACACCTCTCTCCTAGAACCCAATAGATGTGTGGCCTCTCACAGCAGGAGAAGGGGAGAAACAGTCTCTCAGCTGCTGTGATTTGGCCTTTTCCGCTCATGCCTCTGCGGTCTGCAGAGGGAAGTTGCTGTGAGCGGCCTCAGGCCAAGCTGTGGGCTAGGAGTGTGGTCTCATTCTTCACCCGAGGCTCCGTCTTTGCTGAGCCAGGGAGCAGCTAGGAAGTTGGGTAACTCCAGGGTCAGGCAGCTGCTGGCTCAAGGCAGAGGCTCAGTGGGTGGTGGGCTTCCCTGAGGGCCACCTGGCCAGCTAGCTGGGCACAGCTGCCAGCATGGTCACCACTGACCCAGGGACCAGCTCTTAGAGGAATGTTGGTCAGCCCTGGAGAGGGGCTCAGGGGCCATGAGAATGCATTCTTGTTGCTGTTTTGATAGAGTGGTGGGTAAATTCTGGGCACAGGAGGGGGCCAGAGCCTTGTGTCCCATGGTGGACACTCATTCATGGGGCATCTCTTTTGTAAATGTGTGTGAAGTGGTGATGGTTGGATAAGCCAGCAGGCAGTTCTGGGGCCACCCCACAGAACTCGGGCTCCCTCTGTGAGGCAGCCGTGCTCCCAGTCTCACTGCTGGGCCCACTGGGCAGGGTGCGGCTGGACCATGTCCAAGTGCTGAATCAGATTCCCTTTTTCTTGGGGGCACCTCGAGATCTGCCTGAGCCAGGCGGGTGCTGACCCCTTCCTGCCCAAATCCAGAACTGATTTTGCACTGTCTGCTTCCCACAGAGATGCTGCTGAGGAAGTTGAGGAGACATGAGGTGTTGGATCTGTTGTGAGAAGGTGGAAGGAATTCCCCCAAGCTGGGGTTCAGGGCCCAGAACCTGAACTCCCTCGGAGGAAGGGACCCTCCAACTCGCTTCCCTGCCCTAGATCAATGCCCCTCTGCCTTCAGGCCCCCGCCAGAGACCATGGCTCTGTCAGCACAAGCACACTCCTAGCACAGAGGAGGTGCTTGGTAAGACTGTTGAATGGATGGGTGCTAAGACTCTCCTCTTCCAGGAAGCCTTCCATGCCTTTAGCACCTGAACTTACCTGTGTTTCAGTCCTGCACCTGCCCCACACTGGCCGTGTGAATCAGAAGTTATCCCTTTTCCTCAGAGCCTCAGTTTCCTAACATTTACTGTGGGCCTCACACAACATGGGGTGCTGCGAGGGCCGAGTGACCGAGGGTGTGCGAGGAGACCAGCAGTAGGGTGTCCCTGTCAACAAGAATCCCTGGGCCCCTCTCCCCGGGCCCAGGCTGGCTGAGCCCCAGCCCCAGAATGCAGGCTTAGAGGTGGTCAGAACCATGGGTCTCTGACAAGGGAAACATCACTCCCAAAGCCCCTCCCTGACCCCTGTTTCCAGAACACGAGGCGGGAGCAAGTCTTTGAAATTCCCTTGCATCATACACACAGGCAAACAAGCAGGGAGGGAGCGGGAACCTGCCTGCAGGATCAGCTTGTAGCCCTCGGCTAACAGTATCCCCGTCACTGTCACCTTTTCCAACACAGATCTGCCTATCCCCAACCCTGCCCTGGCCCTGAACATGGCGAGGTCCCTTTCCTTCCTTTTGGTCTCCAAGAGGTCTCCAAGGGACCACAAGGAATATAAGAGAAAAAGACCGACAGCAGCAGGGTACCCAGGGCCTGTCCTGGTTTTGCTTGGCAGTGGAATCCCAAGGCAAACCCTTTCCCTCTTGGACCTATCTGCCTGTTAGTGATATGAAGCAGCAGCAGCTACCCCAAGAATCAGGTGAACTTGGCCTCACAGGCGAGGGCCCCTCACCTGGAGACAGGCCCGAGCTAGTGACTCGATCTCCATACTTAGGGTGGAAGGCTCTTGCAGACACTACAGCTGGGACATTGTCCCTACTGTGGGGCCTGCAGAGGGGCAGCCTGGAGGGGGCTCGCATGGACCTGAAGGCCCCCACACCAGGACCCTTCTGCTGCTCACACACAGCTGGACAGAGTCGCAGGTGGTGACTGGAGCACAGCTCTGGAGCTGGACTGACCTGTTCTCGCCATCCCGGGCCTTGTCCTCAGGTGGAGAACCACAGGACCCACTGCCCAGGGGCTGAGGGCTGGAGGGGGCTCATACTGGGTGTGCCAGGGCTGTGGGCTCAATAAATGGCAGTTCTTAGGGGTAAGGGTGTTATCATTGGCTGCCGTTTACCCAGGGAAATTGGGGTCAGTAGATTCATTCTGCTGCTGGGCACTCTTGGGGCTGGGCACAGGCACACACACCCCAGCACGTACATGCCTGTGCCACGGGAGTCCCAGTGTGTCAGCCCTTCAAGGGTTGGAGGTGATCACACCTCTAATCCCCGGGCCAGGACCACATAGAAATCGGGCCTCAGTCTGGGCTGGGAAGGCAGCAGATGGGCCTGGCTCAGTGCCACTCACTCTCGGGCTGGGGAGGGCTGCTCATACCACATCAAACCACACCACACCACACCACACCACACCACACGGCACCTCACAGCCGGCTGGCCGGGTACAGTTAGAAGAGGGCAGACTGCCACCCCTGCCACCCCAAGCAGCCACACACAGACCTCAGCCTAGGGAGACGGACACAACAGCCAGATCCTCCGGACTGCTCAGGAAGGGTTAGACGTACCATGTGTCCCCAGAGCTGTGCCCTATCTATGTACACTCCCTCCCTGCTCCCATCGCTGGCCAGCAGGACCTGAACACTTGGATAACCCCTTGCGACTGGCTCACACTCACCTTCTGCCCCCCAACGGTGCTGGAGCCTGCTAAGCAGAAGGCCAGGAGGCAGAGCAGGAGGAGGCCTGGGGACCCTGCCATGACTAGCAGCGGCCGGCGGGCGCACTGTCCAGCACTGAGCTGGGGCAGCCTGCTTGGGGAATGAGCTCTGAGAGGCAGGCACAGGGCGGGCAAGTGCGATGGGGGCGGGCACTTGCTTTAAAAGCAGCCTGGAGGCCCCGCCAGCTCACCCCACAGGAACCCGCCAGGATTTCCTCCTGCCTATCAGCAGCCTGCAGGCGGAAGGGAAGGTGCTGGCTACTGACCCCTGCATGGATGGTCTAGGCCCTGCTTGGGGCTTCCTGACCCCGGGACCCTTCTCCTGGCGTCACAGTCTCCAAGTCCACCATTAGCCACAAACCTAGGGTCTACCAGAGGTTGGGGAAAAATTCAAATGCAAATGCACACAACTCCCTGCTCTAAACGTCTGCAATGGCTAATTGGAGGGATCGGTGGGGGAGGGGTTGGGGGGTGCGGTGTTCAGCCCCTGAATCAGGTCTGTCTGCTTCAAACTCCAACTGCTGTGGGCAACAGCAGGCCTCTAACTCCCTGCGGGGCTCTGCGCCGAGTGCACAGCAGACTGCCCCTCCTCCCACGCGCCCCAGCTACCCCTCTGACTAGTCCGGCCCCAACCTTGTCTCTACATCTCCCTCTCCCCCCAGGGGCCTTCTCAGTGCTCTCCCTCCTGACCCATCTCTTCCCCACTCGGGAGCCCTGCACACAGCTGTCCACACGAGGCCAGCCTCTCTGACCGTCACTGCTCTCTCTTGCTCTGCCCCAGCCACGTCAAGCAGCTGCCCCTCCAGACCCTCTCTCAGGGACTGACCTCAAGGTCCAGTCTCAGATCAAAGGTCATTAGCCTTCATCTCATCATAGGGACAAAGCTGACCCTGGTTTACTTAATTTTCTGTCACCTGCTAGAATGTCAGCTATAGGAGAACAGGGACAGTATCTGTCTAGCTCACACAGTAGATGCTCAATACAGATTTGGGCAACAAATGAAAGGGTGAATGTGGCTACTTTTGGGACCTCTCTGTCACTGGTAGGCAAACAGGCTTGGAGGGGCTAGGTAACTTGTCTAAGGTTGCTCAGCTAAGCAGTGTGAAGATCCAATCCCAAGACTGCTGCCTGCAGAGTGCCCCCTCCAACAGTGCACAGCCCCCTGCAACAGGTCAAGTCCTCACTGGACCAAGGCTGGGTGGACTGCTGACATGCTGGGCTGTGGGGCCTGGAATAGTAGCTCAGGTGGCGAGGCCTCTGTGTGCTCTGCCCGGGTACAGTGTACCTGCCCCTGGTTGTCACTGTCCTGTTTACAGAGGGATAGGATGAGAGGCAGGTGGCCATTTGTTTAGTGCTTTTGACAATGGCCTGACTGGGGGAAGCCTTGTCACATGCCCCCTCCTACGTATCCTCAGCAGGCTCCCATTCCCCTTACCAGTTGGTGGGGCCACTGGGCTGGTCTGTGATCTGGCTAGGAGGTTCAGTAGGGAGACCTTCCCTTTAGGGGTCCCCCATGCTCTCAGTTTTCTTGGGCAGAATGGGTCCTCTAGGCCAAGATCCCCACCCCACTGGCACCCAGGGAAAACTAAGCAGAAGCAGGCCTGGGAGCCGCCAGCCTGGCAACTCCCCACTCACCTCCTCCCCAATGCTGCCCACATGTCCAGCACCTTGGGGACTGAGGCTCCTGACTGGACCAGGATGAGAGAGGGAGGCAAGAAGGGCTTAAGGGCCCTGCTTTGGGGTTAGGAATGGGTTAAGTAACGTTGGGACACAGTGTCTGGGTCCCAAGGAAGTCTTAGGTTCTACCTCAGCATGGCTTCCTGAGGCAATCCCCACCTCCCAGGACATGAGCAGGCACAGGTGGGCACCGCCCTCCTCTCCACGATCCACACCTGGGGCTGATTCCCCACTGGCCTCCCCCTGCAGCCATCTTGAAGAGACCCCCCAGGCCCCATGCGGTAAGGAATCCTGGACTCTAGGCCTTACCCTCACTCACAACAGACTGCAGCCTTTGGTGGGGCCGGGCCCAGGCATGACACCCGACCCAAAGGCAAAGGGCAGTGAGCTTGTGTGCCTGGAGGCTCATGGTTTAGCCACAGCCCAGCATGGCCCTGTCCAAAGACCCCACTTCACACCTGCCCCTGCCCCTCAGGTTCCAGTGCCACCCGCCCAACCTCTGGCCCTGGGAGAGCCACTCCTTTTGCCTTCCATCCCCTCTGCCTCTCCTCCCTCTATCCTTTCCCCTAATATCTCACTTTCCTGCATCTCTAGGGGTCCCTCTCTACCTCAGGCCCTGTCCTGGGCCAATACCCTGCTGGAACCCCAGAGGACGCTGAAATAAAAGACCCAGACTGTGCCAAACTCTACTTTATTGGAACAGATAAAATAGGCAACAGAATTCATACCAGTGCTGGCAGCTCTAGGTCCCCAGCCCCCATCCCTCTCAGCCCCAGGCCTGGGGGGCTCCTGCCCCCCACGGAGCTCTCCCACTTGTCTGGACCAGAAGTTTCCACTTTGGAAAACTGCACAGGGTGGGAACTTTCAATGTGCATTTTGTTGCCAGCTTCACGGTTAGCAGCAAACGCCCACGACAGCAACATCAACAAGACTGGGCTTGACGTTTCAGGAAAAGACACGTGAAAGAGTAAACAGGACCCACGACGCCATGTGTTGACAACGGTCCTATGACAGAAGATATGACACTGCTATGCCTGGCCACACACCACCAGGGGTAGGCAACAGGTCCACAGGAGGCCGATGGCACCTGGAGGCCCCTGAGGAGCCGGCCCTTTCACTCCTGGGACTAGAAAGAATCGACTGAACATAGATGTTCACATTCTCTGGGAGGACAGTCAAATGAAGGTACCAAGAGAGGAGAAATCATTTTAAAAAGAACAAAGAAAGCCTGCTTCCCTGCACTGAGTGGACGCCAGGCTGGCCACAGAGGGCAGCAAGAGCCAGCTGCAACCTGGGCTAGCCAGTGAGCTCAACGGGCAGCTCCCGGCCGCACAGGGCCTCCCACTGGCGAGCCAAGAGTGAGATGAGCTTCTCGCGGCTCTCGGCACTGGGCACAAACACCTGCCACTGGACCTCGTGGCCCTGGCCAGCTCTGGCCAGGCCTCCTGGCACCTCTCCGAAGTGGTCCAGGGTGACGTTGCCCATGAGGTCGTGGCCTTGCACATCATCAAAAACGAGGGTGAGAGCCTGCGGGTAGGTCTGGTAGCCCATGAGCACTCGGTCCAGGTCCCGGACGCGGCGGCCATCGTCTAGCTGGTACCGGTCCCTCTGTGGCGGCTCTTTGGCAAACTCGGGCAGTGGGTAGTGGACGAAGTCCTCTTCCAGAAGGAAGATCTCGGTGCTGGTGAGCAGGAGCGTTTTGGGGCGCAGCATGCCCCTGCAGCGCCCAGGTGGTGGTGTGCCCACCTGGAAGGCCTGCACATACAGCAGGATGCTGAGCGCCGGTGCCTTCTCCGGGTCAGCCATCTTCTGGGCCACAGTGAATGTCAGGTCCCCGATCTCCTCCTCGCTGGGGTAGGTGAACTTGACACGGCTCGAGTGGATCAGCTCATAGTTCTCCATCTTCCCTGTAGAGAGAGATGCCCACTAGGGCTGCAGCCTAGAACTGGGCTGTGGGGGGCTGGGAGTGCCAGCAGCCCCATGCCACCCAGAGGCTGCAGCATGAGCTGCCACCTGTCAGAGGTGGGTGAGAGCATTGCAAGCTCCATGCCCAGCTGCAGAGCCACAGGCCAGCAGCCCAGAGCAGGGCAGACACCTGGGGTGTGTCTATCAGATGGCAGAGGGTTTGCTGGGATGGAGACTTTGCCATGGAAAACCCTAGCCGGTTAAGCACAACGAGGGAGGAAAAAGTGAGAAAGAGAAGCAGAGGCAAGCTGCAGCCCTTGGGGTTGACGAGAAGGCCAGAGGGCCTGTCTACAGCCTGAGCTGGGCAGGGGTACCTGTGGTCTTGTTCCCAAACTCAGAGTAGAAGTCCTTGTCGACAGGCTCAGGAGAGGGCGTGCGTTCCAGAGAGGAGAGCACCGCCATGAGGTGCTGAAGGAAGCAGTGTGTCAGGTAACTGTCCCGAGTTAAGCAAGTCACCACTTGCATGGGGGAGGAACCTGTAGAAGGCGCTGGTCAGGTTGTAGGCAGCTGCCCCCACAAGCCCTGCCCCTGAAGCTATCTCCAGTCTCTAGCAGATCAGTGTGGAGCTGAAGGCCATGGAGCCAGGGCCAGGAAGGCCCATGTGGGAAAGTGTCACAGGGCCTGAGGATGCAACCATTTCTCAGGCGGAAGGGCTATGACATTTTTCTGGAAGGGAATACGGAGGCATTAGGGAAAGAGCTTAGCTTTCTCTCTTCAGGAAGTGTGAGTCAGAAACATCCTGCCCTTGAGCACAGGGCCCGAGCTGTCTGCCCTCCCGGCATTTTGCTGCCTGTGCCCCTCCCATTCTGAGCCCTGGCGGGTGAGTCCTGCACTCTCAGCAGTTCCTAAAGCTGCTTCCTCCCATGGTGAAATGGCTTGTGAGCACAGAGATAACCCTGCCTGCGATAGTGCACCCACATATGGAAGGTAGAAGCCCACTGGTACTGGCCTCCATCTAAAATAGGACGAAGCAGTGGTCACTCACCCGTCAGCCGGAAATACTGGTCAAAAAGCCCGACGTTGACTGTCTGCAGGTCACTGAGTTTTAAAACAAAGCACTGGGAGATATGGAAGGGACTGTTGTTGTAGTCGGTGTTTTTCTGATGCCAGAAATCTGCAATGGAGAGAAGGACGGTGGTGGCTGTGCCAGGTGAACACGATGAGCCTAGGCACACAGCTGAGTCCAGCAGGAATGGGTTCTGTCGGCTGGCCGGCTGCTGGGGAGCCGCCACCACCCTCCATGCACACAAGGCCTCATGGGCAATGTGTTCTAGGGTCTGAGCCACACCTGGCTCAGGGAGTCACCAGGGGCTTCCATTGAGGGCCCCAGGAGCAGAGGCTGTTCAATACCTCCTCATGGCTTAGTGCCTAGGCGCCTGCTGGGCCCTGGTTGGCCTTAGGTCCCTCATGACAGAGCCGGCGGGGGAGTGCTGTTTCACCCCTCTGACCTAACAAGAGATTCTCAGTTCAGTGCAGCCGAGTCACTGCTGCCTGAGGCCACATGACTGGCTCTATGATGGAGCCATCTCAGGCGTGGGTTCCCAGTTCCCTGGACGGCAGCAGGCCCCAGTGCCTACCCTGCAGCGGTTCTGAGAAGTAACGGCGGAGGCCGTCGTGCAGCACGAAATACATGGCCTTGGTGGAGAGCAGCACACAAGCGGTCACCTCGAGCCCTGGGGTCTGGTAGAACACCACTGAGGACCACATGAGGTGCCTCAGCTCCTCGTTCTCCACCTGGATACAAAGGGGCTGGGTTTGTGCCTGCAGGAAAGCAGGGCCAGGCAGAACATACAGTTCTCTTCCAGACTGTGCCTGACAACAGACCTATGGGCAGGGCACCCCGTTAGCTCCACCACCCTGGTGGCATGCCCACAACCTGGGAAGGGAGACTCAGGACTGTCATTACATCTTGTCAATGGACTGACAGACTTGGAAGCAGAGAAGACTTGAGGGGTGAAAAATGGGTGTGGAGTGGGGTCTGCCAGGGGCCCAAGGAGAGGAGTGGCACGATGGGACAACTGAGGAGGGAAGGGTAGTCCAGGACCTCCCAACCAGAGCCCTCAAAGCTGTGAACAGCTGAAGCTGAGGGAAAAGCCAGCACAGAGAAGTCAGAGAATTGGAGGCTGACCCCAACTTGAGCTCTGCCACACCCCCAGGACCAACTGTGCTACCTTTCCCCACCAGAACCACCCAGCAAGACCCGCACCCAGGCCACTACCTCAGCAATGCTGCTGTGGAAGAACTCAATGATGGCGCTCCCACGCAGGCTGGCAATGTGCCGGAGCGATGGGCAGGCAGGCAGATGGGAGGGGATCTGATTCTCCTCTGAGGTGGCCTGGATCAGGTGCTCACTTGGGTACTGCACAGGGGCCTCAGCTTGTGCCAAGGCCTCCGCTGGGACTGAGGCCTCCACCAAGGCTGGAGCCGGGGTCTCTGCTGGGGTCTCCTCTGGGGTCAAGGCCTCTGCTGGTGCTGGTGCCTCTGGGCCTGAGGCCTCTGCCTGGGCCAGAGCTGGGACCACCACTGGGGCTGGGACTGGCACCTCCTCTGGGGCTGGGGCTGGAGCTATAGCCTCTGCCCGGGTGTCCGTTGGATGCTGGTCACTGCTGCATCTCCCAATGCCCCAAGAAACACTACATTAAGATGTGGACCCAAATGGAGACTAGTATCACATGTACAACTGCTGAGTGTGAGGGGAATGCGTGTACCACACTCCACCTCTGGGGTCTCTTGGGATTTCATCACCTGGTTCTCAAAGGGAAGGCAAAACAGCAGGAAAAAAGTACCCAGGACCTTTCTCTTGGGAGGGAGATGGGCAGATGGGAACAGGATAGGCCATCTGCCTACCCGAGGCTGGGAAGGTGGTCACAGTGTCAGAAATGCCACTGGAGTCCAGAGCACAACCCCACGTGCCCAGAGCTGGGACCTGGGCACACTCAGGTCTGAGAATCAAAAGCTCAAATTGCCCCTCTGCCTTTGGGTTCTCCTCAGGTGGCTTGGGCTTCCCCTCCACCCCAACCTGGCCACCAAGGAACAAGGTCACACTAAATTTTCACTGGTCTGCTCTAAGCCCTAGATCAAAAATGCTCAAAACCTCAGAACCCTTAAAGCCCGTGGACACTGTCTTATCAATTGGACAGTCCAGCTATCAAGTCTGATGCCTGGGGCTCTGACCTTGCACTAGGCCACACGTCCCTAAGAAGCCTCTGGGCTGTCCTCCTGCTGTCACAGGGCAGAGATGCATCTGTGGGAACGAAGCAAGGACCTCTTTCTGCATGGAGTCCCCACTGAGGGCAGATTCCAGCCAGGCTTTGGGGTGGCAGGGAAATGTCATCAAAGCCTTAGCACAGGGGCAGAGAAATGAAGAGACGGCTGTGCAGGGCCGTCTCGGGCACAAGCTGTTCTCCAGCACCTAGACGTCCGGGGTTTCTGGAGGGCATGGGATTTGAGCTGGGCACAAGAGGGGCACCCAATTCAGTCAAGAAGAGGTTGGAAGCATCAGCTGAGGGGTGCAGGTTGGAGTGAGGTGCTGGGCTAAGAACACGGTCTCCACTGTCCACTAGCATGGAAGAGAAGGGGAGCTGGGCCGTGTCTAGGGACAGAAGGGAGACAAATGAAAGGCTTCCTTGCCCAGGGTGGGAAAGCCCCAGCACATGTGAAGCCAGGGAGCAGTGAAAGGGAACAGGGGTGCCCTTAAGGGCACAGGTCCCTCAAGCCCCAGGTGGAGGTGAGCTGGGGGTGTGACCACCCCCCAGGCTCCCTCTGCCCCAGTCGCAGGCAGCCCACAGAAAAACCCAGGGAGGGAGCTCAGGGAAAGCCAGGCTCAGGGGGCAGAAGCAGGGTAGAGAGGACAATGAAAATGAACAGGATGGGGCTGCAAGCTGCTACTCCTTCCCTCTCAGTGCCTCCGTATCCTCAGAAGAAATGGAGCTTTGCATGAGGTGGCCACCCCTCTCACACACTCAGACCTCACTGCTCTAAGCCAACAGGTTCCTTCAGAAGGGACTCCCCAAACTACATGCAGAAAGAGGGCCCATCAGCAACCCAGGTCTTCCTGAAAAGGGCTGTGTGACTCTCAATGGGGTAAGTCTTGGAGCTGAGTGTCAGAGGCAGGTGACACCTAAAGCAGTCCCCTGGGCCAGAGAGGGGTTGGTGGCTCTTAGAGGCTGTGCCTAGGCCTGGTGGAGCAGAGCTGAGGAGGCCATACACGGTCAGGGGCCATCTCCCCAGCCTGTCCTGCAGTGGTGGCAGGAGCCCGGGAACCCAGATCCAACCATGCAGGGCTGTAAGTGGCAAGGGACTCAGCCAGACTGTCCTTGTGAAAGGACAGTTTTCTTAGGCCTCTTCTGAAGCCCTGGGAGAGGAGAAGCATCCCAGTGCCAAGCCCAAGAGAGACAAGGACACTCTGAGGGTGGTCAGGAACTGAGAGGCAGCTGAGGAGCTGGGCCCACCCCGGGCCCACTCACACACTGCGGGTGCTCATGACTCAATTTGGGGCGCGTGGTCTTAGACACAGCGATGTGGACTCCCTGGGCACATAGCAGCCTCATGCCCCTGGCCCCAACACCTGTGTTCAGTCTCACCTGACCCTGCCCTCAGCGGGTTGGCCACTCACAAGTGGGCTCTGGGACTGGCCCCCAGTTGCAGGGGTCTTGGCGATGACCACAGTCTTCAAGTCCTGCAGTGAGGCCCGCAGCTGGTTGTAGATGCGTAGGAAGTGGAACTTCTCATGGGGCAGCACGAAGATGGCGGTGACAAATCGGTAGCCTATAAGCAGCTCCAGCACGTGACCATCGGCAAAGGCGCCCCGAGGCTGGGTGCAGCTGCGAGTGGGGTCCAGCAGCACTGTGGAGAGTGGTACTCGGCTGAGCTTGAAACTGTTGCGGTTGCGACAGTTGTGCGTCCCGCGGTTGGGCATGGGATTGAAGTCAGCCTTGATGACGTTGAGGTGCTGGGGTGTGAGCAGCAGCCAGTAGGGGATGGCAGCAGACTTGACGGCTTCAGAGGGTGCACAGCAGGAGCGCCGCACAGCTGAGCACAACGTGCAGCTGGCCCACTCAATGTTGCCTGAGTAGTCCCCAGCAGCTGTCTGCACCATGCGCTTGTCGCTGTAGACCAGGTAGACAGGGAAGCAACCCTGGCTGCGCTCCTGGCAGCCGCCTGCCACCTTGTAGAAAGTGAGCAGCTGGCGGAGGAACTCCTGCAGGCTGGTGTGGCTGCCATAGAGCACGGGGCTGCACAGCATGGCCATGTGCTGTGGGGCGAAGCATGAGCGCAAGTCAGCATGGAACTCGTGCAGGTTGGCGGCATCCGAAATGATGAAGAGCGTGTTCTCACTGTGCCGCACCTTGAGCACTAGACACAGCTCTGGCATGAGAAAGCCAAACTCAGTGAGGTCACCGTGTGGGAAACAGAAGACGAAGCGCAAGGATGAGAGGATGTGCTGGCTGCTGCCCCTTGACTCCTGGTGTGGGATCTCAAAGACAGCGATGCCGAAGTCGGTGAGCACGAGGCAGGCCGCAAACTGGCGGATGCTGCCCTGCACATGGATCAGGAAGCACCAGAGCACCTTGAGGATGCGGATGTGCTCCAGCAGGAAGTCCTCATCTGCACCCAGGGCCCACTCCAGGGCTAGGCGTTCCTCCTCACCCTCCTCCTCCTCCTCTTCTTCCTCCTCTTCTTCCTCCTCTCCCCGGCCTCCCCCATTCTCTTCCTCCATGTCTGGAGGCCCCATTTCAAAGTAGCGGTTCTCAGCAACATCCTCTTCTTCATCATCGTCATCCTCGCCCTGCTCACCCTGGCCCTCCTCCCGCTGGTTGGCTGCTTCAATCCAGGCGGGCAGCTGCCTCTCAATGGCCTGCCGGATGAGTGTGCTGAGGCGCTGGATAAAGTCCTGGTTGGTGGCTGTGTAGCCAATGCAGGTGAAGGGCAGAAAGATGATTTGGCCGGACCCGGGCACCACCTGGACCTCTGGCTCTGTGTGCTCTGGGCTGTGTGAGGAGAAGTCAGGTCAGTGACATGCTGGGCTGGATGTCCCACCTCTCAAGTCTGGGCCTATTGCTGCACCCTGGTCCCAAGGAACCAACTCACGGGTCTCCCAAGCCTGCTAAATAGACGAGCCTATTCCTAGGACAAGTGCCCTGTTGGGGAACCAAAGTGCCAGAAGGTTGGGACCACCAGTTTCTTCAGAGTCCACATGCCCAAGTCTCAGATGACAGGTATTCAGCACAGTCCTGTCCACACATCACACAGGTTCTCCTCTCCAACAAAAGCATCACAAGACACTAACCATTCCATGCTGGCCGTGAGCCCCAGAGGCACTGAGTGCTCCAGGGCCTGGACTCGCCTGAGGACAATAGGTCCCGTTAGGGGCACCCGTTCTTGGGACCTTCACATTTAAATTCGAGCTCCTCTTGGCCACTGCTGCTGCCCTTGTGAAAGTGTGTGCACTGGGGCTGAGAAACCTCCTCCACAAAGGTTCAGAGAGGGAACACTTCAGGCTTTGGGAGCAACCCATCCACATAATCTTTTTTACTCTCCTGTTTTTAAACAGTCCTTTAAGAATGAAATAATCATTCTTAGCTCCCAGGCTGTGGACCAAACCAGCCTTGATCTGCCAACCCTTTGTGTAAGATAACCTACGTCAGGCAAAGTTCAGGGATTCAAATTTAGATGTGGGCCAGAACTCATCTCATCTGTGCTTATTTAAAGAGATAGTTCTGCTGGACTTCTGTGAACAGATTTTTAACAAAATTCAACCAGTTACCACTAGCCCACACCCGAGTGTGTCAGAAGACCCAGATGGCCTTCTTAACCTCTTCCTTACCCTGTACCGCCAACTGCTCCAGGCATGTCCCTGAAATCATCAGAAGGTACCTGATAGAGAAGGAAATGTGGTCAGCCCCCACCTGCTGCAGCCATCCCCTGGCATTTACTGGTGCTGGGCCCTGACCCAGGCACCCTGCTCTCCTTCCCTCCCTCCCTCCTTGCAGAAGTTCCTCACCATACCTAGCTCCATTCTGTGGTAGATTCTGGGCCCCAGAGGCAGAGACACCCAGTTATGCCACCACTGAACAGTAGGGCTGATACTCAACCGGGTCTGTCTGCCCCTAGCCCACACTCCCAACTCCTGGGCCAAAGCCTCTTGTCACTCTGTAGCTCAGCCTGTGCCTCCAGGTCTGGCATCCAAGTGCTCCCTGTGCCACCCCACTGGGTCCACGAGAACGGCATGCCAATTCCGTAACTGGCCAGCAGAAGTCACAACAAACAGGGACTATGCCGCTTCTAGCAAGGCCTTCCCAGAGATCTCTGAGCAACTGGGAGACCTAGGGCTAGGGAACCTCCTTCCTACTACATGACCCCAGGGAGGGTGAAGGAAGAGAGTGCCAAGGAGTACTGGGACAGGGCAAGGACTCTGCAAACTACTCAGGGTCACACAGCCGTAACTCTGTTGCTGAACAGAGACAGGGCTGGAGAGAGGCCTAGGTAGCAAGTACGCTTCCCACACACGGCAAATGAGCCACTCACAACACACTTGCCTTCCTCCTCTCCCAGGACACATGAAGAAGCTCCCGAACCCTCAGCAATAGTCACAGAGAAGGTGCCAGAGTTATGATGTGTCCCAAACTTACAGGGTGACATGTAAGAATGGCCAGAATGGTCCTCGGTGCCAGGCAGCAGGGGAGAAACTCTTCCTGCTGGGTTTGGAATTCAAACAAGCCCCGGCCCCCTGACCCCAGGACCTTCTGAACTGCCTTCCCTAGGGGAGTCCCTAGAACTAAAGGTCATCTGGTTTTGGCCCCCAGGGCCCACTGAGAGAGAATTGTCTATTCCCATTAATGGGGGGGGGGTTGGGGAGGCAGAGGAGGAGAGGGAGAGGGAGAGAGAAGAGGAGGGAAGGAGAGGGAGGCTGAACATAAATCCTTAATCACAAAGCAGAGCACACCAAGCACTGGAAGCATCTGCCACAACTCTGGCCAGGCCACCTCCTACTTCCAGACAGCCTCAGAGAGCTGGCACAGAGGTAAGCAACCCCTAGAAGTAGGGGGCAGGCATTACCTGTCCTGCAGGGATGGACTCCAAGGAATCAGAGCATCCCCTGGCAATGGGCCGGTCCTCAGGAGTAAGACTGTCGGTGGATGAGAGGCTGCTGGCCAGGGCCTCCTCTTGCACAAACATGATTCCTGGAGAGACCAGGGGCAGGCGGGTGGGACAGCAGGGCAAGGAGAGCAGCCATTCAACAAATGGGGCTGGGCCCTCAGGATTCCAGCACGGCGGGGGCTAGTCAGACCCCTGAACCCAGCCACATGGAGTACAGAATGAAATGTTAAAACTGAAACCTTAAACTAATTTGAAGAAAGAACAAATGACTGCTTATCTAATCTCAGGGTAGAGAGAGACTTTCTGAACCTAAATTCAAAGGAAGAATTTGAAGTGTGACTACATAAAAACTAAACTTTCATAAGTAAAAAGAGAAACCTAAGGTAAGTCAAAATCAAATGAAATGAGAAAAAAGTACTTGCAACATTCGACAAACATTTATGTTTAATCTACAAAAGTCTGCTACAGATGACAAAAATGGGGAGGGGGAAGCTAGAAATCCCATTAGGAGACAGACAACGAAGAGGCAGACACATTCCACAGAAGAATGGCCAACAGATATCAGATGAAACAATGTTCACCCTCCTTCACAAATAATCACAGAAGCCGCCTGCAAGCTGGAATAAGACACCAGTTTTGTCTCTCACTTTGGCAAAGTTTAGACTGACTACACTGTGTGGACCTGGCCTAAGTGGGATAGAGGCAGGCAATGGGGTGTGAGCCGGCCCACCTGTCTGGAGAGCAGTTTGGCAGTACATCCATCAAGAGCCTTAAATGTGTTCATTCCTAGAGGCTCTTCCTAGCAAAAATACTAAATGCAGCCTCAGCCCATTCTGACATCTCCACAGAGCTTCACAGACACACAAGGGCACAGGGCCTCGAGGACAACCCATACCCAGTACCTGTGGCCTGCTTGCCACAGAACACATCCCACTGACCCTCCCCTGGACAGCACACATTGATGTATGCGCCTGGAAACAGAGTGCTGAAGCTGTTTTATGAATACAGCATGTCGGGGCGCATTGTTTCACTTCAGCTAGTGGAGGGTAAAGCCTTTTTTAAATGTTCTCCTCAGTGTAGCTAGTCAGATGAACACTGGCGTCAGCCCCTGGTTTCACAGAAATCTGGAGGAGCCCAGGGCTCACCTCCATGGCCAGACTTTACCACCAGTCACCCCGGGTCCAGTGAAATGACTCAGAGCCCCCAGAGGTCAGGCCCTAGTCCAGCTCAGCTGTTGCCTGGGAACAAGACAACTCATGTGGCCCAGGTCTTCTGCCCGTGGGGTAGGCAGGCCAGCAGCCCAAGCCCAGACCCCATTTCCCAGTGCAAGCGAAGCAGTAAGGACTCTGCACAGGCAGGAAGGACAGCAAGCACACAGCGATGCATCAGCGCACTGTTCTTTCCGAGAAGCCTCCCTCCTCCCTCATATGATCAGATCCTACCCATCCTTTGAGGACTCCCTTACACACCACCTCCATTGCAAAGTCCTCTACCCTAGACATACTTCTTCCTCTATGAAATGCCCCAGATAATTCTGCCCTGTTCCCCCTGGGCATAGAGCTCACCTCCCCAAGAGGATTCAAGTTCCTCAGGGGCACTGCCTTGGTCACCTTGAAACCCCCAATAAGGACGTGGGAGACGGAAGCCCTTACTGACCACTCCTGATGAGCCAGAAGCAGTACCCAGTGCTTCCCTGGTGTGCACTCATGCACGCCTCTATTATTTACCACAGTTCATCATGTCTAAGATGCTTAGATGTGGTGCCATCTTGGTCTTAGCAGGTGTCCACGGAAGGTTTTCACACGACTCTGTCACGAATACCAGCTGGCTGACAGCAACTGTGAGACACCACTGACTGAAAGACGCATCTCAACTTCAGAGAAGTCACAAGGCGGAAATGTGTGCATCTTAGAACTGATGAAGCAGGGTGTATATACTTTACAACTGAGAAAACAGAGCTTCAGAGAGGCTGCAAATTGCTTGAAGAAACACGGCCAAGGAAGCTGGGATGCAAACAGCTGGCTGACCCCCAGGAGCCCCTAACCACTAGTCTACAGTCTCCTATCAGCTCTGCACCCTGCACAGAGAGTCCGCCCTGGAATGTCACACATCAGCCCTGATCAGTCACGATTCTCCATGGTTCCAAAAAGCTGTCTAACAGCTCCTGAGATGACCACAGGCCTGGTGTTCACTGGACAGTTCCCTTTCACACAGGCCCCTGACTGTCCATCCAGTTTATTCACAAATACATGCACTTCCAGGGAATCAGGCTGGGAGCAAAGCTGCTCCTACACGGGAGAAATCCATGGCCATTCAGGCAAGATCCAGCAGCACAGGACTAAACACAAATACCTGTGGATCCCTCCATATTAGGGAGAAAGAAAAGCAACGTTTTCTTGCCATTACCCATCCTCCCACCTCCCATCCCCCCTGCCCTGTTCGGAGCGGAGGCAATAAGGATGGGGATAGTCTTTCTGCCTCCTTCCTGGACCAGAGTCAGTACGCACCAGAGCCAGTCAAAAGATGGGGTAGGGGGTACCAGGAAAGTGCTTAGATGGGGCCCAACCTTTGTTTCGCATAAAAAGGAAAGAGATGTGCACACAAAAAGATCCACTGCAGTTTTATTTATAAGAGGTGCAAATCTGTAGATAACATCTAAATGTCCAGTAGCTGGGAAAGAGGAACAGACTACAGTAAGTCACTTGGTGGTGTGTCCCCAGGAGTGGGGGGCAGTGAGGAAGTGAGGCTGAGGCCTGGGTCTGGCTTGTGCAGAGACTTCACCATCAAAGGGCGGGGGGGGGCTGCCTGCAGCTGTGGCCCTGGGGGCAGATGCCTCACTACCCTGCCTGCGGTCTGCTCTTTACCAGCTTGTTCTCTGCTTGCTGGCTCACTCACACAACCAATTCCATAAAGGCTGACTGAGACCCAGCTGGGGCCTGGCCTAGAGGACCAGTTGTATCCTCCCTCCCCCCAGAACCCTAGTCGAGTGGTTCCTCTGCAGGGCTCTGAGGCCTGAAGAGGGCTTTGACCCCAGGGTAGGATATGGGGTCAGGGAAGTGTCTTCAGTGGGATACAAACCTCCCGCCTCCTTTATGTAAAAAAGTAAAATAAAAATCTCTCAGTTGAGTGTTACAAAAGCAAACTGACAATCGCTCTGGCACCTACTGTCACCGCCCCTTCTCCGGAGCGCTCTCCCTCATCTCTCGGCTGTGGCCTCGGTGCACTGCCCTGCAGCAGCTGCCTTAGCCTGAGTACTATCCCTTCTTCCTACCCAGCCTTCCTCTCTGATGTGGTGGCTGCAGTGTTTTGCACCACAGCTTAATCTCCCTCTCATCCTCTGACGTTCGTCACATCCCCTGCTTCGCTAGCATAAATACCGCTGCAGTGAGCACTTCATCTCCCCTTCCCATTACCTTATCCCACCAAGATAAAATCCCCACCGATGGGGTTACCAGGTCAAGGTGTGGGAACATTTTTCTGGCTCTTGAAACATAGGGTCAAACTGTTTTCCCAAGACCTCACACCAAGTTCTGCGTCTCCAGGAGCCCGGGTGGGCGGGCGGCGTTCCTTCCTGTGTGTCCCGAGCCTCGGCTCCACTTGGGACGGCACACCCTCCCCTCTTCTGTGGGGGCCGGGCCAGCAGACACTCTCATGGGACCTGCTTCACTCACTCATCTCCGAGGATGCCTGGGTTCAGAGGTGAAAGCCCTTTGAAAACTCTAAGACAGTGGGCGGGTGAAAGGGATTGGTCTTCCACGGACAGCCTGTCTGGGCGCCACAAACAGTGTTTTGGGGCTGAGCCACAGAAATGAGGTTATGACAAAAGCACGTTTCCCATGCAGGGATCAGGGCAGCCAGCTCAAGAAAGTAACAAGGCCTGGCTTCCCATTAATAAGGAGCCAATCCACCCACACTGCCTGCAAGGGAGTGGGGTCCTAACGAGCTAGCAGCCCTGAGCCTGTTCAGAGAGCAGCCTCAGGGCCCCATTTGATACCCTGTGGCATCCTAGAGAAACTGGATGTGGGTGTCAGAATAACGGGGAGGGAGGGCCTTCAGTAAACAAACAACAGAGCTGAAATCAGGCCAGGCACCCCCACCATGTGCCACCCAGAGAGGAGCTGGCTTGCAGGCCACATACACCTTCCCTGTGTTTGAACCCTGCTGGGAGCAGGTGCCAGCACCTCCCCACAACCCCAGCCCAGTCAGGGGGTCCTGCAGGGCCTGTGTGGCTCTGCTAGGCAGAAAGCTACATGTTTGATTGCTTACCTTGGTTGGAGAGGATGGGCTGGGGCAGGGAGGCGGAGCTGGGAGCCATGGTGGGAGGGGAGCTGCTGGGTCTGACGCAGGGGGCAGCAGAGAGCCGGCAATCCTCACCAACCTAAGAGGGGTACTCAAGTCAGCCCAGGAGAGAAGGATCGAGAAGAACAGAACTTGATAAACCAGGGATGAGGAAAAACCCAGAGGTTCTCACAGATTTGGGGATGGTGAGTCAGTCTCACCTAGTACTTACAACCCTGAGTGGCAGGTACTATCAGCACCACCACCTTACAGATGAGAACAGACAGGCGTGACTTGCCCAAGGTGATGCAGCCAGGGCTCAGTGGCTCTATGAATGCCCATAGCCCAGGCCCACTGTAGCCAGCTGATTCCGTATTGGCTCTTTACCACTCCTCCCAACTCCCACACAAAGACCCACCTTCTTCTCAGGGTGGCCCAGCTTGGACTTGACCTCCTTGGCTTTCTGAATTGCTTTTAGCACTTCCACAGTATCCAGCTCCTTCTCTGTGGTCACCGTGTTGTCCAGACAGACCTACAGAGTCGAGAAATAGCTATGAGCCCAGGGGCTGGCCAGCACATGAGAGCAGACTGGTGGGAGCCCTGCCAGAGTGTGGGCTGGGCCCCATGAGGCTCAGACCACTGAGAGGTAAAACTCCTCAGCCCCGAAAGAAGTAACCCGGGAGCTCCTCAGACTGGCCCAGGCAAGCCTCACACTGCCTGCTCTGTTGCTGGGAGTCCCTTTCCAAAAAGGTAAAGCGGAGTACAGGGTCCATTGAGGGGGCTGGGAATGGGGGAAAGTGGGGCTTGAACAAACCCACCAATTACGGCAGAACTCAGAACAGTGAAGAGCAGTAGGGAAGGCCTTCTGGGTGGGGGAACTGGAGGACAAAGGCAAGGGAAGTGGGCACCCCTATCTGCAAACGTAGGAGGGGCTATGGGCTGGCAGGCAGCATGGGACAGGCAGTGTGGTCAAATGAGGGAAGGTCCAAAGGGCTTGGAGCCAGGAGGGGAAGAAATGCCAACTTGTGAACATTGTCTTGGTGACACTTGGGGACAAAGAGATGGGGAGCAGGGAGGATGAGAGAAGAATGAAAACTTCCAGGTATCTTCTGGCCTGGGATTTGGGAGAATGGGGAAGAGGCCTGCTTGAGGCTAAGGAGACAGGTAAAACTAGCTAAAGACCTGTCTGGTTGGCACGGTGGCAGCTGGCCAGACATACTCAGCAGGCAGCAGATACTGGGCTAGGCTACAACAGCAAAGGTGGGCACACCCTTTGGGTTCATAGTCAGATTTCATGCCCAGAAATTGTCTAGGAAACACAATTATTTTAAATACTTTATTTCTGAACCTTGCCTACAATAATCAATGTTACTTTTAACAAGCTCCACACTCAGTCTGTGCCTGTGGATTCTTGGGGAGCCCCCCAAGCCATAGCTCTGACAGAAGTGATGTGAGGGAAGTCTGATGGGGAGCCTCAGGCCACTGACAGGATGGGGTGCAGGGAGGGTAAGGGCGTTTTTTTCCTGGGGAGGCAGCAGACTTCCCAGAATTGAAAGGCCATTTAGGGTGAGGAAGTCCCCCTGAGGCACACAAGGATAAAACTGGACATCACCCCTTGTTTTGCCTGTGAAGATGTGGACTCAGTTCAGACTGTCTCTTTGACCAAGCTAATCCCCACTCCACCCTCACCCTGGCAGCCTACCTCAGACGCCCTCTCTCCGAACTGAGCCAGCACCTTGGTCCGGTAGTCGGGGATGATGCTCAGAGGGTTGTTCAGCAGAGCCACATGCTCCAGACATGGGAGGCTGCCTATGCTCCTGACCTCCTCCATCTGCAAAGCATGAATTCCATTCCCCCTCTCCCTTCTTTTAACACTTTGGCAACATGACAACACATTTGACAGCCTCTTTTAGATGAAAGCATGCTTACCATTCTTTAAAGTGATAAACACCAAGGCACAGCCATCCCACAACCCTGAGATCCTTCTGGAACATGTCTCACCTGTTCGATTCTGTTGTCACTGAGATCCAGGTTGACCAAGGAATACAGCTTGTGCAGGCCACTCAGACTCTCCAGAAGGTTACCTGCCAGGTTCAGAGTCTTGACATTCCCTAGTTTAGTATGAACCCCTTCCAAGGAGGACAGCTTGTTGTAGGACAGGTCAAGGTGCACGAGGTTGTACAGGTGCTGTGGCAGCATTGAGAACAGGTAGAGTATTTCAGGTCAAGGCTCCAAAGAAAGGGGGCTGACATTAATAATCGGATGGGCCTTCCAACCTGACCTTCCACAGGTCAGACCCACGGCCTCTGTCCATTATTTGTGAGGGAACTCCCTCTTTCCGCCTGCACTTGCCACAGCCCAGCGGCATCCCCTGTAGAAGCAGCACAGCTAACTGGGTAGGTGCAAAGTTTGGAAATGAGGCTTGCCTCTTCACGATGGAGGTGCATCATCTTCATCTCGCTTGCTTTGTATTTATGCATCTTTTCTAATTCTGGGGAACTACAGCAACAATCACTCAGAGTGTCTCTGGGACCCTAAAGGGACAGTAGCAGCACCTGTTCCTACAAACCTCAGGGACACCCAGATACCTTTCAAGTGACTGTGAGAGAAAACTCTGGGGTACGGCCCGACGCCCAAGGCTGCATCAGCCTTCAGAACTCTCAGAGACCCGTAAGAAGGCCGTAAATGGTGATGGTCTCCAAAGACATTAATTACCTGCAGGTTGTCCACGACTAGCACTCCATTGTGACTCAGGTCCAAGAACTCAAGCTTTGGAATCAGTTTCTTGTGGAAAAATGAAAACAAAAACTTACCAACACTCGACATTATTCTAGAAGGCTGGACCCTACGTACCCCTGCACATGGTGGACAGAGACGCCCTGGGACTCTTCCTTCTGACCCTGGACTCCTGGGCTGGCCATCTCTGTAGGGCCACTGATATGGCACCTCCCAGCGCCCACCCAGCAGCATGTCCACAGGAACACACAGGGACTCCAGTGATGAGCAGCACCCCCCTCCCCACCATTTTTATGGAGTACTTGGCTTATGAAGATGACAAATGGCAAGGTCCCAGAGAAAGAAGTCTGTCCATCTTTCTTCTCCCACCCTACCCATTGAGAAGTACAAACACAGGAATCATACTACTTCCCAAATGTCATCTGGATGTCATTCTTCCAGGAGCACATCTGAACCTGTGGACTGACTTTTCCACTTCACTCCTTAAGAGTAAATTTCACTATTCACTGTGTTTTTATGTCAAATGTACATGCAATTAATATGCATTGTTTCATTCTAAGTACTATCTCACTTATTTTAAATAATCCCATTTTGAAATCAATTAAAAAATTACAGGCAACGCACAGAGCCCAGGTTTTCTGTGGTCCTTCCAGAAAAGCCAAGTTAAATACCCAACCTCAGCATTCAGAGAAGACCCTGGAGCCCCCTGCTGACAGCGTACCACAGACTCGTCAATCTTGGAGATGCTGTTGTGGCTCAGGTCTAGAGTGGTCAGTGCTTGCCACGTGGGGATGATGGCAGTCACGGGGCCTTCCAGGGCTGTGCCTTCTGGCTCCCACTCATCAAATTCCGAGGCTTCAGGAACAAGGACTTCCTGTGTAGGAACATCTGTTGAGCACACTTGGGCCCTCACGCAACACTCACTGGGAATGCAATCATTGCAAAATTTCAGGAAGGGCTTAAGCATATTTAGCATGTGGAAGTGAACTTGCATTAAAGTTGGGCTTCGGCTCATATGTCTTTAAACGATTGTGAAATAACTGAAAAGCTGAGCAACATAACAGCTTTTTGGTATGTGTTCTGGTCCTGCTTCACGAGCAAATGCTTTCCAAGCTCACAAGGGCCTTTTGCCATCTATATGGTGATGCCTTTTCTGGCTTAAATCTCAGAAGCTAAAGGTCAGAATTCATGGTGTTTCCAGGCAACTGTGCTTTCCAAGCTGGCGCTGTGGTCCCCACTGAGCCCTTTTAACCGTTACTTCACAGGGCTCAAATCCCACAGTCCTGAGGTAGCAGCACTGAGCACAGGGATACCACTGAAAGGAAGGGAGGCAGGTCTCCTCATTTTGACTTTCCACACCCACAAGACTTCTCTTGATGGTTCATTTCTGTCCCCATGAGCCAGGTGGCAGGAAGTGCTTCAGAGGGGCAAGGCTGCCTGGCACCCTTGCTCTTGACACAGCTTCTTTCTTTTAGTCACTAAGCCTCAAATTTCACCAAGTCCAAATGTCGATTAGACATTCTAAGCCAGTGATTTTTAACCAGTGTGCTATAAGAATTTTAAAACATGCAGTACCTATTTTAGTCAGGGGCACTGAACTCTTTCCCCTTAGGTTGGCACTTAAAAAAAATGACAACAGCCAGCACAATGATAGCTGTCCAGTGTGAATGAATCAAAATTATACCTTTTGGGGGGACAAAAATATATTTTGTGGTGTCCTGCAGAATTTTAGTGATTAGTTTATGTGTGCTATGAGATGAAAAAGGTTGAAAATCACTAGTCTAAGTTATAAAAGTAGCCATTAGGCTTTTCTAGAGAAGGGCCTTAATGTTACTAAGATGCAACCCATCAGGTAAATAGAAAAGATACCTCGCGTTCTCAATTCAGGTATTTCTGTTGCTCACATACAAACAGGGCCTAACATATCCACAACCTCACCTGTCTCATTCAAGTTCACTAAGAATAAGACACAAACAAGTGCTGAGTCAGGGTTTTTTAAGCTTAAAGAAACATTTATCTCAGTCTATCTAATAAACGTCCTGTCACTTGCCACTTCTTGACAATTCATTCATCAAATACCAGTGACTTTTTTTTTTGAGGGGAGGGAACCCAGTTCCTTAAAATATCTTGTTTAACAGCATGATTTTTGATGAAGATGTAGAGATTAAAGCATCCCAGGGGCTGCTAAGAGCTGGGAGGTCTCACATGAGTGTGTGGCTTCCCAGGCTCAGGCAACTTCCAGCTTCTGGTTTCTGGTAGTGGCAGTGCTCACACCCACCTTCGCTGGGGAGACCACAGCACAGGACCCTGCCCCACAGATGGTGTCCAGGCAAGAAACGGGGTGCTCACCTCCATTGAAGTTGCTGAGAAGCGGACACTCATTGTGGCTAAGGTGGGCTTTGATGCGACTAGTCCCCGGATGTGCTTGGCATCACAGTGGCTTATCTAGAACAAGGAACAGCTGTGTCTCAGAGCTGAACACAAAGGCCATGCTTGAGAAACAGATGCTTTAATACATTTTTTATTATCCGTTATAGAGTCCCCTTTCATTTTTAAAATGGTAACAAAATTGGCATCACAAACCCAAGAGTTCAATAGTGAGTAATGCACAGTATTTCCTGTTATGTGTGGGCATGCCAAGGGCAGAGAACTCTCAAAGCCCTTAGCCGGTCTGCCTTGGGAAAGACATGCAACTGATTCTGCCCGACCCTTGGGATGAGTTCTCACACTTCAACTCAAGCAACAAGGAGACCCAGAAGGGGCCAGGCACTGGTGCTCCATCCTGTCCATGACAAATGCTGCCCACGACAGGGGCAGAGACCTGCAGACCAGCCAAGAGCAGCAGTAGCCCCTCTTTCTCTGCCTTCAGGTTGGACTTACTTACCTAGATGAAACCTGCCACATACTGACAAACACAAAAGTAACATCTTACAATTAAGTCCAGACACCCAACATCAGAAACACTTCTAGCCGCACGGTCATAAGCAAGATGATGCTTGTGCAGAACTCAGCTTTGCCTGCACTCCAGGGGCCCTGGGCCTTACCTCCACCTGATGAAGAGACTTGAATATTGACAGATCAAAAGGCAGCAGCTGCTCCTGAATGTTGCTGGTCCCAAAAGGTCCTTCTGTGCCAGAAACCTGCAGCCACAGATATGGCTTGATTCAGGGATGCTGTCACATGGCTCCACATCCATGTCACAGGGCAGTGCTACAGCAACTGCCATCCAAAGAAGCTCTGCCTGGCTATGAGGCAGGATGGGCATGTGCCCCATCAACAAAGCAGGCTAAAGCCAAGGTTTAAGCCAAGGACACTGGGTCATGACTGCCCCCTAGTGCTCACAGCCAAGAACACCAAAGCTGGCCTTCCTTGCTGGGATGGCCCAGCCTGCCAGTGAGTTGTTAGGTCCCATGCCCACAAATGAGCTGCCGCAGCTTTACCTTAAGGTACTTAAGGCGACAGGTGAAGTCCAGGATGTGCCCAAGGTCAGTCTTGGCGTCCCCGCTGGCACACGTGGGCTTTCCCTGCTGCAGCTGTTCGGTGACTGCATAGAGCTGCAGGGGCCTGATGGCAAAGACCTCGCCGGCCCCCAGGAGCTGTTCTCCTGCAACAGCCATGCCCCCATGGAGGGTGAGCGTTCACCTCCAGCCCAGTTCCAGTCAAGTGGTCAGGGCATCTGCCCACCTGGCTAAGAGTTAACAAGAACTTGGCAAATACCTGCTATGTGTGCTGCACCACATCAGGACAAAACCACAGTCCTGGGCACACAGGAACAGCTGCCCTGCTGAACTCATGGTGGGCTTAGAGCATACCCAGAACATATGATTACAAAGGAGGGAGAGGCCATGGGAACGTGCAACTGGGGAGCCTCCCTGAAGTGAGTCTGTTAAAATCTGAAGTACTGAACAAAGATAAAGCTGATGCAAGGCAGCATTGTGGGCAACAGACCCATGATGCAACCTTCAAGATGCAAACGTCTTGAGTTAGGTGGGGCCTAAGTTGCCAGCACAGTGCAGGGCCTGGTAGTAGGCAGGGGTTCTGAGCCAGAAAGATCACCATTGGTTCTCAATCTGCTCCTTCCAGCCATGTGCCCTCAAGCAGATCACCAGGCCTCTCATCCTCAGTATCCTCACTGGCACCCCCTGGGTTGGGGCGTAGGCAGTAAGATGTGGAACACTCGCAGAAAACATGTTACATGTTAGCTACTGTAAGTATGCTTTCTGGCAGGGCTATGACCTATGCTCGGCTTCTGTTTGTCATCTGAACTCTTTCAAGTAAGGACAAACCAGATACAGGAGGACACGATGCCACACACCTTCGAGCACTTTAACTATAGGGCTTTGAACTAGATCCTGAACTTGGGGTTAGCCCTCAAGATAAAAATCAGAGAACCCTAAGGTGAAGGACCACAGTTCCTCAGACCTGGCTGCCTGCAGGGCAGGTAGGTGGGCAGGCTTAGCTGTGGACCAGATCCAGGGCCTTGGGCAACCGCAGGAAGGTGAGCCCTGGCATTCATTTGGCACAGACCAACTGATGGAGTTCTGTGCCACCCTGCACCCCTGGCTCCCTAATAGGGTGGGCAAGTTGCATCCGGTATTTTGGGGACCCCTGACTACATACCTTTTTCGAAGAGCTCCTCAGCCAGAGCTGCAGTGATACCATTTATCTCCTGCAGAAAAAACAAAATCCAGTTAGGAAGTCCCCCTGTCCCCAGTCACTGGGACTAGCACACTCCCTATCTACCTCCTCTGCTATTGCAATGCCAGCTCTCCATAAAGTTAGACAGAATAAAGGAGAGAACCTGTAATGAATCAAGGTGCATCGGAAGGGAAATGAAATATTTCCAGTTGTATGAACACTGAAAATGTCTCCTCAAAAGCAGAACAGAAACCAGACTAATGCTGCAACTTTTAAGTCCACATAGGCACTGGCTGAGAGCACGAGACCCAGGAGGCTGGCAAAGCCTGGCTGTGAAGCACTTGCCAGGAAGCCAGCAGCTCCCAAAACTGGGCCTGGGAGAGCCTGGAGAGGGCATCATGGGAAGAAAGTCCTGTTTTTCTGGAAAAGGGGTTCTCATGACCTTTGTGAGATAAAATACCTCCCAAGGCCAACCCTCCCTGACAGTGACCATTGCTACTTTCATGCTTCAAAGGTGTCTTAGGAGAGTGAGCACTTGTTCTCTTCCTGTGCTTGTCCCCTCAAGCCTTGAAACAGTGCTACATGGCCCCAGAGTCACGAGAAATAGGGAGGAAAAGAGCTCTCTTTTGGAATGTTATGACGGAGGCCGAAGCATGACAAGGACAAGTCTTCAGTCAAGTTCTGAGGTCCTAATTCATGATGGGCAATGGCCTGAGTACTCACGATGTGGTGGCTCACCCAATCCTACCAACGCCCTATGTGAGAAGACATCATTTGGGAACCTGTTTCTCAGATGAGTAAACTGAGCTGAGAAGTGTTGTAATTCTCCAGTTCTATGTAGCTGGAAAGTAGCAAAGCCACATACCCAAGAACTCGGCCATGAAGCCTCTCAGTATACAACCAATGGCTGTAGCACTTTAGTGGTATAATCGTGGGGTCGGCAGGGCCCCTGGGTCCTCAGCCCCACATCCTAAAGTTAAGAATTTTAACTAACTGACAGATAGCAGCCAACAGGACTTTTTTAATAAACAGGTCCAGATGGAGGTTGCACAATTGCCTTCCTAACTCTCAGGAACATCTCTGCCACCAGGATATGCAAGTCATGTGTTTACAAGACTCGAAAAGCACCAGGTTACAGGAGACAGGGTGTCCTTTTCCTTTCTTTTTTTTCCCCTTCTCTTTGGCTTGTTTGTCTTTTTCTTACCTTGCATACATATGCTGCAAATATCTTCCCCCGTCTGTGTATGACTTTTCCCTTTGCTTATGGTGGTTTTTCACTTTTGTGTTGTTTAATGTGTGATTTTTTTCTTTGTGAATTCTGGGTCCTCTTCCCCAACCCAAAGATTATACAAATATTTTTCTAATGTTTTCTTTTAGTGCTTTATGGTATCTTCTAAAAATGTGTTTATTTTTTTAATTTGCATGAAATCCAGTTTACATGTAATGTGAGAATAACTTGGAGATCCACCCATCCTCCCCAACAAATAGACAAAAAGCCAAAGAAGAAAAAAGTGAGAAAACACAGCCCCAGCATTAAGGGGCTCACAGTCTGGAAAGATGCAGGGTTGAATGTAAAGAGCCATCAGAGGGCCGGGGGCAGGCTCCAAGCAGGGGTGCCTCAGCTAGAGAGGAGAGAGGCTGTCAGTTCACATTGGAGTTCAGCTTTAGTTTCTTGCAACAATTTAAACTCAATTACATCTTTACATTTTCCACGGCTGCTGTGAAGAACTGAAGATTAGGAAGAGCTTGAATCGAAAGGCTCCTTTCTCTACCAACAGTTGAGAGCCAAGCCCTGTCTCCAGATCTGTACCTTCCCATTCCCCCTGCAGCCTGGAAGGCCTTGAGTCCTGAACAGCTCCAAGCCCCTCCCCGCCGTTACTCATTCTGGGGCTCCTAAGTGGTCTCCCAGGGGCAAGGGACTCCCTGTCCCACATCCCCACCCAACCTGTGCTGAAGGGACTGGAAGTGCTTCAGGGTGCCACAAATGTCTGAATTGAAATGTATTTTTTTTAAAGACATTCTTTCTACCTCAATAAAAATTTCACTTAAAAATATTATTAGCTAGCCCTGGCTGGCGTAGCTCAGTGGATTGAGCGCCAGCTGCAAACCAAAGCATCGCAGGTTCGATTCCCAGTCAGGGCACATGCCTGGGTTGCAGGCCACAGCCCCAACAACTGCACATTGAAGTTTCTCTCTCTCTCTCTTTCTCCTTCCCTTCCCTCTCTAAAAATAAGTAAATAAACTATTTAAAAAATATTATTAGCTGTGTTTAAAACTGTAACACCCACCCCCAAATGTATTATAGACCAATTGATCAGGTTCCTGCCAAGACCACGTGCTGTTGTGCAGCCTTGGGCAGCAGTGTGAGCTGCATGCAAACATGCCATAGACTAGTGGGGCTGTGGCTCTGCGGCTACCATGCTGAGTGAGCATGTCTGTGCACACAGGATCCCCACAACCAGCTGCACCCTACTGCACACACACGCCTGCACTCAATGCATACCCCCAGGCTGCACGATGCCTCCATGTGGCACATGCATGAGCTGTGCACTCAATGGGGCATAACGAAGGGCTCAGTTACACATCACTGTGTGGTACACACACACGTGTCTGTATCACTGTCTAACTTTCCTGTCTGTGATGAGGCATTCTAGCAGGAATGAAGTAGTAAAAATTTCCCATTGAGGGATTTGAGCCTAAACTGACTGAAGAGAGCTCCAAGACTAAGTAGCAAAGAAATGTTACCATTTATAGCCTTAGTGCTTTGCAACTAAAACAAATGATGGATGTGAATGCTAAGGGCTAATGCAAAGATAACAGTTCCATCATAGCTCCTGATTTCAATTTTCAAAAAGTGTCTTTGTTCTAGCCAACTGGCTTTAAAATAAGAAAATAATATAGGTGCCACCACTGAAAGGAACAGAGGCCCTTTCCTTACCAGGACAGGCCATACTGGCTAGCAGCTGGTGTGCCCTGCCACGGGCCATCGGTTTTTCAGGTCCTCTACCTTCACTGTGCCATCTCCTAAAATCCTCAAGAGCCAAGGTCATCACTCTCCAGCTCACAAAAGAGGAACTGGGGCATAGAAAGGTTAGATGCCTGACTTGGAAGCAGCTGGATTGAGAGATAAACTTCGCTTTGCCTGCCTCTCAAGTCCACAGTTAGAAAGCCTCCCCCAAAAGGGAATGCTGGAATTCTCCCTGGGATTCTACTTTACTGAATTTGAAAACCTCTGCTCTATAGGGTTCTGGGATGAGGTCTGTCACCGTGGGTCTAGGAGTATGGGGACACAGCTATCTGAAGAGAAAGCATAGCAACAGGCCCAGGGCTGCACCAGACCCCAGATTCTCCATCTCAGTCAGAGTTGGCTGGGAAAGCAGAAGTGCTCTATTTCCTTGCCATTAAAATATGTCCTGCAAAAGAATGAAGTTGGACTCCTAACTCACACTATATACTACTCACAATGGATCAAAGACCTAAACACGAAAGCTGAAACAATACAATTTGTAGGAGAAAGCACAGTTGTACATCTTTGTAACCTTGGATTAGGTAAGGTATGACATCAACGGAAAAAAGAAAAGATAAAATGAACTTTACCCCCTGGCTGGCGTAGCTCAGTGGACTGAGCGTGGGCTGTGAACCAAAGTGTCGCAGGTTCGATTCCCAGTCAGGGCACATGCCTGGGTTGTAGGCCAGAGCCCACAGCAACTGCGCATTGAAGTTTCCCTCTCTCTATCTCCCTCCCTTCCCTCTCTAAATAAATAAAATCTGAAAAAAAAAAAAAAAAGAACTTTACCAAAATCTAAACTTTTGTTTCAAAGGACACTATCAAGAAAACGAAAAAACAATCCACATAATGGGAGAAAATATTTGTATATCACATTTCTGGTAAGGGTCTACTATCCAAAATATATCAAGAATTACAGCTCACCCTGGCTAATGTGGATCAGTGGGTAGAGTGTTGTTCTGCAAACTGAAAGGCTGGCCAGATTGATTCCCAGTCAGGGCACATGCCTGGGTTGTGTATTCAATCCCCAGTTGGGGGCATGTGAGAGGCAATGAATCAATGTGTCTCTGACAGATCAATGTTTCTTTTCCTCTCTTTCTCCCTCCCTCCCTTCACTTCTCTCTAAAAATAAATCAATAAAATATTTAAAACAAAGAATTACAACTCAACAACAAAAAGACAGATAACCTAACTTTTAGAAGTGCAAAGGATTTGAATACATTTTTCCAAAGATATGTCAATGACCAATAAATACATGAAGAAAGGCTCAACATCATTAGTCATTAGGCAAGCACAAATCAAAACTACGAGATACCACTTTATACCCATTACAATGGCTATAAAAAAAAAAAAAGAACAGTAACAAGGGTTGGCAAAGATGTGAAGTGATTCAGAATGTATACATTGCTGGTAAGAATGCAAAATGATGCAGCTGCTATGAAAAAAAATTGGCAGTTTCTCAAATAGTTACCATATGAGTCAGTAATTCTACTTTCAACAGAAACTAAAACATGTCCACACATAAATTTCTACATGGTTATAGCAGCATTATTCATAATAGCCCCAAAGTGAAAATAATCTACTTATCAAGTGATGATCGGATAAACAAAATGTGATATATCCAAACAGTAGACTATTCAGTCTAAAAAGGGCCGAAGTACTGATTTATGCTACAATATGAAAGGACCTTGAAAACATCACACTAAGTGAAAGAAGCCAGTCACAAAGGCCATATACTGTATGATTCCATTTATATGAATCCATGGAGATAGAAAGTAGGTTAGTGATTGCTAGGGGCAGGGCAGGATGGAAAATGATTGCTAATGGTACAAAGTTCCTTTTTGGGGGATGAATGTTCTGGAATTAGTGGTGATAGATGCACAGCCTGTGAATATACTAAAAACCAGGGAACTGTACACTTTAAAAGAATGAACTTTTTTTGGTATGTGAATTCTATTTCAATTAAAAAAAAACCCCAACAAAACCCACACCTCAGCCTAATAAAAATTCCCTGGGTCCACCCTGTCCAATGTCAGTCCCACAAGAGGTAGGGCATGTTGGGAACAATTTCAGAGGACACAAATGGGACAGAGGTTAAGAGAAACATTCTCTAAGAGCTCCCAGTCTATAAAAAAGGTTGACAAATCTCTAGCCCGTTTGTTCAAACTCATTTGAGGATCTAATCTAGCGGTTCCAGATCTGGTGTAATTTTGCCCTTCAGGGGGATATGTGGCAAAGTCTGCAGACATTTTTTGGCTGTAATTAACTGGGCGGGTGAGGTGCTACTGGCATCTGGTGGATGGAGGCTGGAGATGCTGTTATACAATGCACAGAACAGCCCCTACAACAATTACCCAGCCCTAAATGTCAACAGTGCCAAGAGAGACAAACCTTTATTTAATTCAGTGAAGGGTCAATTACTTTTTTAACTTCTTGGATTTATATAACCCAGGGGCCTGTTTGATAACAGTAATTTTAAATATGTCCACACTGCTCCAAGCAGTAGAGCATGAACAAAGCCACAACCATACATGTGGGCCAACCCCAAGCCCATCTCAGGCAAACAGATCTCCAAAGAGAAGTGCAGGCCTTTCCATGCTCAGAAATGAGAAAACCTGAGGAATCTGGAGAGACTACCTCCTCAAAGACCCAAGGTATAAGCAATGAATCATACATTTGAAAGGCTGCTTATCAAGCTTTGTCCTTAATATAGCTAATCAAAGCTTCAAAAAGTGCACTTTTTTAAAGTATATTTTATTAACTATGCTATTATAGTTGTTCCAATTTTTCCCCTTGTCCCCTTCCACCTGATCCCTTCCCTCCTGCAATCTTCCCCTAGTTCATGTCCATGGGTTGTGCATGTAAGTTCTTTGGCTTCTCCATTGTCTGTACTGCTCTTAACATCCTTCTATCCATTTTGTACCTATTGATTATGCTTCTAAATGCCTATACCTTTTCCCTCATTCTCCCCTTCCCTCTCCCAGCTGATAACCCTTCCAAGTGATTTCTGTATCTATGATTCCTCTTCTGTTTGCTTAGTCTGTTTTTTAGATTCAGTTGTTGATAGCTGTTTGTCATTTTAATGCTCACAGTTTTGATCTTCTTTTTCCTAAATTAGTCCCTTTAATATTTCAAATAATAAGGGTTTAGTGATGATGAACTCCTTTAACTTTACCTTGTCTGGGAAGCACCTTATCTGCCCTTCCATTCTAAATGATAGCTTTGCCTGATAGAGTAATCTAGGTTGTAGGTCCTTGCTTCTCATCACTTTGAATACTTCTTGCCTGCAGTTTAAGAAATCAGCTGACAGTCTTATGGGAATTCCTTTGTAGGTAACTCTCTGCCTTCCTCTTGCTGCTTTCAAGATTCTTTATCTTTAACCTTTGGCATTTTCATTATGATGTGTCTTGGTATGCTCTTTGGGGCCAACTGGGACTCTCTGAGTTTCCTGGATTTGTGTGTCATACTGGGGATGTTTTCTTTCATTATTTTTTCAAATAAGTTTTCGATTTCTTGCTCTTCCTCCTCTCCTTCTGGTATCCCTATGATTCAGATATTGGCTCTTCTGGAGATGCCCCAGAGTCTTCTTTAAACTCTCCTGTTCTGATAGGTTGGCTGTCTCTAAATCTCTTAGTTCTTTTTCTGGGTTTCTGCTCTGTTCCTTCATTTGGGCCATATTTCTTTGTCCCCTGATTTTGGCATCCTCCGAATCTGTGTACTAGGTAGAGTCACTCAGATTACGTTTAAGTGCACCTGTTAAGTTGTATGGGGCAGAGCCTTGGGTATTTGCCAGGGCAGGGCAACCACGGCTCTGTATGTGTGTGGGAAGAGTCAAAGAGGGGACAATGCAGCTGCTGGTTGACTTCTGGGGCTTGCCCAGCCCTTGCCCCGTTTCCAGTCACTTCACCCACATCCCATGTGTGACTGGTGTCCCTTCAGCTGCTGTCCTAGTTGTGATCCCCAGGGTGAGTGGGTTTGCATACGTTCTGGACTCACCTGAGAAACCAGCAATTTCTTCCATCACCCCAACTCCCACTGGGTTTATAACCAGAAGTTATGAGGCTTTCTTTTCCCAGTGCTGGAGTCCTGGGCTGTGTGGTCTGGCCTGGGGCTGGGCTCACTCCTTTACAAGGTGTTTCCCTGATTTTTATCCACCACGCGTGAATGTGGGGCTGCCTGTTCCACTGGCTCCCTCTCCTGCCCTGGCTTGCTCCGCTACCCAAGTCCTCTCCACCCCTCCTCCATGTTTTTACCCCTCCTCCCTGCCTGGATGAATATAGCTTATTTATATTCCTGGTTGTCAGGCTTTCATACAGTTCTAGATGTGTTTCTGGGTGATTTTCTGGCAGTTGTGGGTGTTTTCCGTTTTTAAGTTAGTTATGTTCCTTCTTATTGTGCCCATAAAGTACAGTCTTCCCTAAAATACTAACCTGTAAAGTTTGCCTGAAAGACTCGTGCATTTTTTCTCACATAAGGAAAGGAAATGTAAAAAAATATCTACACCAGGAAACTGCTGCTTACAAGAAAACTTGTGCTTTAAACATGTTTGGACCTTTAAGAACACAAACCCATGAGTCCCTTCCTAAAAGGTGAGCCTAAAAAAGGAGTGGATTCTTTCCTATCTTTATGACATAAAGGGAAAATAATTAAATGTAAAAAATAAAAAAATCTATCACTCTGCCCTGGCCAGTGTGGCTCAGTTAGTTGGGATGTTGGCCGGTAGACTGAAAGGTCATGGGTTCCATTCCCAGTGAGGGCACAGGCCTGGGTTGCAGGTTCAGTCCTGGGTCAGGGCGCATGTGAGAGGCAACCAATCAGTGTTTCTCTCCATTTCTCTCTCCCTCCCTTCCCCCTCTCTCTAAAATCAATAAGCATGTCCTCAAACGAGGATGAAAAGTAATCATAATAATAAAAAATCTATCACCCAGAAATAACTACTACTACTATTTTGGTGTATAACCTAGAATTTTCCTAGACAAATATAAAATCTTTTTTAATACAATGGGACTATACTCTATATCAGGGGTGTCCAACCTGCAGCCCATGGGCCACATGTGGCTCAGGATGGCTATGAATGTGGTCCAATACAAAACTGTAAATTTACTTAAAACATTTTTTTTTTGTGATTACATGCTGTAACATATTTAATGTATAACCCAAGACAACTCTTCTTCCAGTATGGCCCCAAAATGCCAAAAGGTTGGATACCCCTGCTATACATATTGTTTTACAGCTTGCTCTTTTTATATAGTAATATATTTATTTTCCTATGTTAACAAATTCATTGCTACACCATCATTTTTCTAGCAGAATATGCAAAGATCTGGTTATACTTCTTTCTTTTTTTAATCACATCATGTTGGACTTTTATTTTTCAGTATTTTGTTACAATCCTGGAATGACTACCTAAATCCTTTCTATAGTTTCCTAACTTTTTTCCTAAGAATAAATTCTAAGAAGTGAAATTGTGTCCTGGCTAGGTAGTTCAGTTGGTTAGAGAATTGTCCTGATACGTCAACAATGCAGTTCAATCCCCAGTCGTGGCACATACAAGAATCAACCAATGAATGCACAGATAAGTGGAGCAACAGATCGGTGCCCCCCCCCCCCCCGCTTCCTCTCTCTCTCAAATCAATACAAAAATGTGGAATGGTTGTTTTTAATGTTTTGGTTTCAGACCACCAAACTTTCCTCCTTGAAGTTTGCCAGCTCATCCTGTCACCAGCAGCCCCTGAAAGCTGCTCCTTTATCCAGAAACGAGTGCCGAGCTGCTCTACTACATACACCCCCATCAAAGTAAGTTATCCACCCTCACTCACACCTCAACAATGCCTCAAGGTGGCAATTCTGCCAACACAAACTGATCCCTGAGTCTTGAGCTGTGAACCAACTACTCAACATTAGTCCATGTCAGGTGTTAGTTGTTTCTAATGTACCCCCATCCATGTGGATGGAAACCTAGCTTAAAGAACCACAGACCATTTTTGCTAACCAAAATGCCCTATGGTGGAAGAAAGCCTCTCTGTAGTTATAGTCCCTCTAATGTAAGGCAAATCTGTCAATAAACATGCTACTGCCCACACCGTCCCCACAAGTAATGTTCCTCCATCTTCCAACCTCAGGATCAAACTCCAGCCCATCTTTCCTCCAAGATAAGGTCTATACTGGTTTGCTACCTTGAGCTTGGGTGGTTGTGGGATTGCAGGCAAAAGAGAAGACCTGAGAGGAACTTACATAGAACTGAAAATGCAAGAAGTGGGCCAGCACTCTGGGGGCCACACCAGGGAAGGTGGCCAGGAGTGTCTGGAGGTAGACCTCCAAATCCTTCTCCCTCTTTTCCACCAAGCTTCTCGAGTTTTTCCCAATTATTTTTTTGGGTGGAAGCAGATTTTTATCAATCTTCTTCTCTGCAACAAGCTGTAAGAAAACATAAGCATGTTAACCACAGACCAAGAGACTCTGTGATTGTGCAAGACCAAGGGAAGCAGCCTGATGCCTGACATGACTTCCCCAGCTGCTTGTAGCAGCTGTACCAGGATTAGTGATCAAACTGGTGCATCTGGGTTTGGCCTTATCAAGTTCAGTCAGTATTAGAAATACCAACACAATTCCAGATGGGAAGCTCCATCTGGAGACATTTAGAAAAGGAGACCTCTAGGTATCTAAAAATCACCATTTTCTCCAAACAAGAAGGGAAACCACTCAGGGCAGTGGCCTGTCTTTAAAACATTCAGGATGCAAATGAACCAGAAAAAGGCATCTCTTTCTAAGAGCAAAGAAAGAAATGGAATCACAGCCAGTTTTAAAGTATAGGCTATGGAACAGCTATAGGCAGGTCAACCAAGTTCAAATCTGTTCCCTCCTCAGGAAACTGTCCCAGCATCTCATATTCAAGCTAGAACTGGCAATCTTAAAACTGAGTTCAGCCCTGGCTGATTTGGCTTAGTAAACTGAATGCCGGTCTGCAAACCATGGGGTCACTGGTTTGATTCCCAGTCAGGGCACATGCCTGGGTTGTAGGACAGGTCCCCAGTTGGGGCCATGCAAAAGGCAACCTATTGAAGTATCTTTCACACATTTATATTTCTCTTCCTCTCTTTAAAACAAAACAAAAAACAAATACAAAACTGAAGTTCAAATATGTTCCTTGTGCACTATCTCATGCTAGGGCTGAACTCCCAGGAGCCACCAGTTTTTTTTGCCAGTTAAGTTAATAAACTGGTTTATTAAAGAACACTACAGGCATGGAGTCTGTTTTGTCCTAAAACGAATATGTGGCACAATGAGAACTTGGCCTAAAAGCCCCCAAACCCTGAGACACAGGTCCCCCAGCTCTTATTACCTTTTCATGCAGGTCATGGAAGTCACTGTAGCGGTGCTTGACTGTCCATTCATGGTTGCCATCAGTGACCTGGATGATGTAAACCTAAAAGGAAAAACAGTCAGTCCTTGCCTAGTCAGTAACAAGAAGAGCCCCACCCCAACCCCTAGCAATAGCTGTGGGACACCCAGCCCCTCTCAACCCCAGGCCAAAGTTAGGCTGCCCTTGCCCACCAGCCTCTGCACCTGACTCCTGCTGTGCAGCAGGGCACTCTCTCGGCCTCCTGAATGGCCTACCCACTGGATCTGGGAGGCACATGAGATAAGTCTGTGGTTCTGTCCAACAGTGAGGAACAAAAAAGGTGACTATTATGACAAAGCATCTCTTTAGTTTTTTGCTTCCATTCTCCAGATAACCCAAACCCCAATCCAACCAGAGCCTCAGATAAGGGCACCCTCCTGAGGGAGGCAGAAGAGGGCCAGGTCTGGCAGTGCCAGCTTTTCTGCTATATTTTTCCCCAGGGACCCTGCCTATATCCTGGAAGCAAGCCTTTTCCAATCCTTTCAGCTGGTTAATAGCTGTGATTTCCAATGCTGAGCCAAGAGTCAAAGCACTAAAAAGCTGATGGGGAAGAGGTGGAGGGAGGGGAGAGTGGTGACGGACTATCAAGCAAAATGGCTCAGAGGTTAGGGGACTGGGCCTTGGAATTAAGGAAAACCTAGGTTCAAAACCTGGCTCTTGAAATTTCCTAGCTGTGTCTTACGTATGAATCACTATATAAGTGACTGGGAGCTTAAGTTTTCACTGAGCCTCAGTTCCTCCACCATAAAATCTGATAGGTTTAAGAATGAAATAAAGTAATGCATGCAAAATGGTTTGTGCAGGGCCTGACATGCAGCAAGTATTCAATTAAAAGGTAGGTGTATTAATAATACTCAACTCAGCATACCCAGAAACAAAATGGTAGGGTAGGCCTGGGATCACCCACCTCCTCTTACCCATTCAGAGGAGGGGCTCAGCACTGTGGAATAAAGAGAGCTCTTTTGGGCTGACCATCCAGCTCAGTGCAGCTTGTGGTTGATGGCCAGCCAGCCTTTGGTTTAGAGAACTCAACCCTCACCTAGTGGAGGACCCCTGGTCCTAGTGCCCCACTCCTTTCTGCAGCAAGCAGGGAAGGGAGAGGAGAAAATAATCAACTGAGCTGATGCCTCCACATAGAAGCAGCCATTTCTCCAGGGCTGGCCTGTTGCTCCAGTATCTGCCCTCAGACCCTCTTCACAGCCTGGCAGCTTCCCTCCCCCTTCTTTCACCTAAGAAAGAAGGAATGACCCTCCTGAGGAGGGTTAGAATGAGAGCTAAGGTAATGGGGCAAAGGCAGGTCCAGAGGCTTCCACCCTCTGGGAACAAAGGACAGGTTGCTGGGAGGTGCTCAGTAAGCCCCCACCTCAGGAAGCCTATCAGGCCCTAGGCCTGGCGTCCAACTCCATCACAGTCGGGAACAACACCCTCCCCCCCCCATCCCCCCCAAAACCATTCCTGTCCACCATCTCTCCCACAGTCTTGAAGTGTGCGTGGGGGGGGGGGGGCTTGCTGCCTCAAGGTGCTCTCAAAGCCATGAAGACCCTTCAGATTCCTGGGTCTTGCATTTTCAGCCCTGAGGGGACCCCCCCCCCCCACCGGCAAATTCCCCGTATATGAGATTCATCCCTCCTCCTTTCCTGTCTCTGCCTGATCCCCAGGACCTCAGGACCCCAAATTCGCCCTCATTTCTGGAGCAAATCTCAACTGCGACCCCAAAGTCCCCAGATCGAAACCCTACTCCCTCTCCTATATGGACTGCAGGGTTCTTCGAATTCCATTCATCAGACACCCCTTCCCTAATCCCCTCCTCCTGGACCCCCTGTCTTATCCTCCTTGGCTGGCGCCCCTCCAGGCCTAAAGAATCTAGAGGGGCCTCCTCCACATCTAAAGCTCCTTCCTCCCCAGACTCCCTTTATCCCTAGATACCACCCAACCCTAGCATCCTTTCCTGAACAAGGACCCCTTCCCAAAACCTCTCCCTGGGTTTCTTCCCGGACCTACGCAACCGACATCCCTTTCCCAGACACTCCTATCCAAGCGAAATTGCTGGTCCCTTACCCAGACCTCCCTGGTCGTGGAGCCCAAACCTCCTCCCCAACCCCCACGACTCGGATTCTGGGTTCCAGCCACCACCCCCGGTTCGGGCGTCCGCCCCCTTAGCACACCGTATATGTGTCCACGAGCTCGGAGCCCACGACGCGCGCCTCCTTTGCTGGCTCGGCCTCCCGCTCGGGCCCGAAGCTGCGGGCCACAGTCGCCATGTTCCGGGCTCCCCGGCCACCCGGCGCAGACTAGCAGCAGCAGGGGGCGGGGTCAGCGTCCCACCGCCCCCAGGTCCCCACGGTCTCCCGGCCCCACCTCCGTCGCGCGCCACACCGCCATCTTGGCCCCACCGCTTCCTCGCGCCTTCGCCCCGCCCCTCGCGCGTTTGTTGACAGCAACTACTCTTGGCGCGCGTGCGCAGACCTCGCGGGCCTTTCTACTTGCGTAATCTGTACCTGGTTTTCGTAGCCCGCCGCACTCTTTGCAGCTAGGGAGAAACTGAGGCCCTTGGCGGGTAGCTTTGGGCCACACCATTTGGTACCTGGGAGGGGGGACAGAAGGCCTGTCACCTCCCTGGCTACTTGTAGCAAGTTACCGCTTCGTCCGGCCTCAGTTTCCTCCTCTGAAAAAGAGAGAAAATAATGTCCCCTCAGCTGGATCCTGGGCTCATTCTCTATAGGTCGAGAAGGTTGAAGAAGATACCAGAGGTGCTTAGAGCCCAGGGCAACTCTGGCCAGTTGTTAACCTGTCCGAGACTCAATATCCTCTGTCATGTGGGCTGCTGGAGAATTGAGTGTGTTAATTCAAGAAGTGTCCTGGCTTGCAAGACAGGGAGCTATTATGGTTATCTAGAGAAAAGTCAGTATGGGGCAGCAGGGTGAAGATGGAAGGAAGGCATGTGTGCTGGTCATTGGGCACAAGGCTCCCAGATGGTGTCCTACTAGAGCTTGAAATGTGGGGGGTGACAGACTGTCCCTAAACCCAGGGACTGTAGTGTTGGAATGGGAAGCACAGGCACAGAGACAGCCCTAACCCAGGGGAAGACCCAGACCTAGAAGAAGGTGGTGGTAACTCAGCTGGATGGGAAGGGGAGAATCTGGCATAGATGGGGCATCTGTAGATGTGTTTGCTGGATGACTGAATGCAGCTGGCCTAAGCCCAGAGCTAGTACTGCTTGGGTGAGATGAGAAGTCTGGGGTGTGGCTCCTGTGGTACCCCTGGCTGAAGGAACCAGACCACTTTGTCCTAAGGGGGTCTGTGACTTCTCCACCAGTTCCACAGCACTGTACTCCGAACTTAGCATTAGAGGTTTCTCTTAGCAGTGCACTATACTCCCAACCCTCTCCTTGCATACAGTCGCCTGCTACTGCAAAGAAGTTAAGTTGAGGAGGGGGCTGCCAAGTCAGCCAGACTCTGGGCAAGTTGCCACCTCTCCAGAATCCTCAGTTTCCTTATCTGAAAAATGGGGGTATCACCCACCTCCCTGATTGGATGGGAGGTTAGGCAGCTGGGTGTAGGAGCCTGGCCTGGACCCCATAACTTGTACTTCCTGTCCTCCTAGGTTCATGTTTTCATTCATTGAAGAAAACTTTCCAGAGAGTCCCCTGAGAAACATGGGGTAACAAAGGGAAAGAGACCTGGTCCTTACAGCTCTACATCTTCCTGCCCTGGACAGAGGACACAGGGACTCAGGCCAGCTGAGATTGCCAGTGCTGGGGGAGGGGGTGGAGGATGCTACACGCAGGGGTGGGCTGGGCCCGGAATGCAGCTGGGCAGGGCTATTTAAGCCCAGGGCCTCCTGGCAAACAACTTCAGCAGCCTGCCCTCTGAGCCGACAGCATGGATGACATTTACAAGGCTGCGGTGAGGGACTGGGATTGGTGGGCCCACTGGGGAGTCAGTTCAGGATGGGAGGTGGGACAAAGTCACCCCAGGGAAGTGGTGGGGACCCAGGAGAGGCCCTCAAGGGGATGGTGGGTGGTGGGTCTGGCATTCCGGAGTATAGATTGGAGAGGAGCTGTCAGAGTGAGTAGAGGAGGAAGTCGTACCTTTCAACATCATGTCTGCCTGTGTCTCCAAGTGTCTGTAGTCTGTCTCAGCCATATCTCTCTGCATTTGTGTCTTTGGTCTCTGGACCTTTGCCTTTCTTGGTGTCTTTCCATCTTTTAGTTCTAAGCTGTCTCTGAGTCTGTCACTGTCTCCTTGTCCCCACACCCATTTCTGCTCCTCGAATTCTGCTTCTCACACATTCACAATCCCCCCAGCCCTCTCCAGCCCCTGGGCTGTCTGAGGATGTATAGGGGGTGATAAGGGGTTATGAGGAGGAGGCTGCAGAGCCAACCCTGAGCTGGGGAAGGGGCTTTGATGTTGGAGGCAGGCAGGGTAGGACTGGGTATGGGGGAGAGCCAGGAAGAAGGAACAGAGGCTGAAACTCCCATCTGGCATGGGGGGCTCAGGGCTCAGTGGCTTAACTGGGGGTTAGGGCTGGAGAATGGTCACCTCAAGTTCCTATAGCCTTCTGGGGTCACTGAGGAGCTTCATGTGATATTCCATCTCAGGGAGGGTTAGTTTGCTGACCTCCCCATGCCCCACAGACAAGGACATCTGGCACAGACAGCTGTCCCCAAAGGAACCCCTCTCTCAGCCCCGAGAGTGTGGTCCCAGTGCTGGCTCTGGGGGTGCCTATCCTGCAGGCATCCATAGAGCTGGGGGGAGCAGCCCTCTGCCCGTGTCCATACAAGGTCTGTCAGGCCTGGGGACTAATTTTGGCTCCTGAGGCACTAGCAGGCCAGGGGGGCAGATAACACTGCCCCACCCCCTGCATGCCAGAGTCCCCAGAACAATCACCAGGTTTAACTCTGTCCCCCGTTAAAAATAGCCCAGTGTCCACCCTGGTCAGGTTACAGAGAGTGGCTTTACCTACCCCCACACTGGTTTTATTGTCCCAACCTGAGGGACAGCTGTCCCTCGGACTACTCAGCTTGGGTTTCAACAGGGCGGCCAGTAGGGCATTGAGTGGTCACCGACTATTGTTACTCAGGGTCACCTTAGTCCTGGAGTGGGTGCCCACCTGTCACCCTGGCCCTGAGCCCAGTCTCAGTGAGGCTAGCTGGGTCACCGAAGGGCTTTAAGGGCAGGGAGGGAGGACCGAGGCCTCTGCTCCATGACCTGGAAATGGCCTGCCTTTTCCTGGGTTCAGTCATCCTACCTGTGGAATGGGTTGGTTTCCTCAACAGCGGCTGGAGCCTGAGTCCTGAGACCTTGTTTCCTCTCTAGGTAGAGCAGCTGACAGAAGAGCAGAAAAATGGTGAGTGTCCCAACACACAGGGCAGGGCTGGGGGATCATGAGGACCCCAGGCTGGAGACCAGAGCCTGAGGTCTCCCTTGCTATGACCATAGAGGTCTCAGAGGGAAGTGGGCAGGTTGGTAGGTGTCTCCAGGGTTCTAGCCTTCTGGGGTCCTGGCTGCTGAGCCCTGGCCACTCTGCTCCCCCTCCCCTATCGGACACAGAATTCAAAGCAGCCTTTGACATCTTTGTGCTGGGTGCTGAGGATGGCTGCATCAGCACCAAGGAACTGGGCAAGGTGATGAGGATGCTGGGCCAGAACCCCACACCTGAAGAGCTGCAGGAGATGATCGATGAGGTGGACGAGGATGGTAAGCCCCTCTACCCTGCCAGGCCCCAGGCCCATAGCACCCCATGTCACTGGGGACCTGAATCTTGACTCTGCCAATTTTTACTCTGTGCTCTTGAAGTAGCTGTTGAGTCTCTCTGAGCCTCGATGGTCTCATACATGAAGGTGGGTAAAACAACCACCTTGCCTCAGGGAATTGGTGTGTAGTTGCAGTGAGAATACCGAGGCCTAGGGTCAAGGGGGGTGCCAGCCTTTCTGACCATCCCTCTTGAATGGCTATGCCTCCTAACCCCCAGGCAGTGGCACAGTGGACTTTGATGAGTTCCTGGTTATGATGGTTCGGTGCATGAAGGATGACAGTAAAGGGAAATCTGAGGAGGAGCTGTCTGACCTCTTTCGCATGTTTGACAAGTGAGTGGGTGGCCCTTGACTTCTGACCCCAAATCTAGCAGAGCTGGGGAAAGGGACAGTCTTCTGATCTCCAGACCTCAGTTCCCTGTTCTGTGCAAGGGGGGAGTGGGATGCCTCATCTCCCAGCGGCTCTGCCCTGCCCCCTGGGTCATGGGTGGGGCTGACCCTTCTTCCCCTTGGCCCCCACCATAGGCTCTGAGACTTCTCTTGCCCTCACACTCTGCAGAAATGCTGATGGCTACATTGACCTGGAGGAGCTGAAGGTGATGCTTGAGGCTACGGGTGAGACCATCACGGAGGACGACATTGAGGAGCTCATGAAAGACGGTGACAAGAACAATGACGGCCGCATCGACTATGATGGTGAGGGATGGTGCACTGGATCTCCTGCTGCCCATGCCCTTTAGGTTCTGACCCAGTTTTGATCCACGCTTGCCCTTCTCTCCACAGAATTCCTGGAGTTCATGAAGGGGGTGGAGTAGATGCCGACCTTTGACCTTCCCCCAGAGCTGCATGTGTTACCTTCCAACTCCAGCTGGGCCCTGGGGTAGGGCAGGGGGCCTGGGACTCCAGGATGGGATCCTGGGCATGTCCTTGACCAAGGGTCCTCTCTGACTCCCTCCTCAGCCCTGTCCTAGGGAATGCAAATAAAGCTCTGCTCCCTGGAGGCCTGGTGTCTTGATTTCCTTCCAGGGGGGCGGGGTGTGGGGAGCTGTGGACATTTCACCAGCTAGTGTTTACTCCTTACCTGAGGACCACTTCCTTCCCTGTCCCAGAGCCCTTGCTCTGACCAGCCCTGCAATCCGCCTTCCGCAGGAAGAGTTAGGTTAGATCAGAGACTACCACATTGCATACCTGACTGCTTCCTTCCTTCCTTCCTTCCTTCCTTTCTTTCTTTCTTTCTTTTTTAATTTGTATTTTATTTTTACAGAGGGAAAGGAAAGGAGAAAGAGAGGAAGAGAAACATCAATGTGTGGTTGCCTCCTGAGTGTTCCCCACTGGGGACCTGGCCTGCAACCCAGGCATGTGCCCTGACTGGGAATTAAACCAGACACTCTTTGGTTCACAGGCCGGCACTCAATCCACTGAGCCACACTGGCCAGGGCTGACTGCTTCCTTTCTACAACAGCTGATGCCCAGGCCCTATCTCCAGCAATTCAGCATCCAGCATTTGTGGTGACTCAGGAATCTACATTTCATAAGCTCCTGGGAGCCATGGCTTTGGTCAGCCAGTGGGCAGCCAGAGGTCCTGCACTTGGAGGGAGGAATAACTGTAGCACCCAACTAGGCCCTGGATGCTCCTTGGCACAGCAGCCCCAGCTC